GATTTGGATTGTCCCTTGTACGAGATAGTGGTCTGACCCAACATCTGCTCCTCTTCTTACTTTCGTGTCCAGTAGGCTGTGCCTCCACTTCCTTGAGATTGAGATGAAGTCGATTTGGTTTTTGGTTCGCCCATCTGGTGACACCCATGTAGCCTTGTGTATATCCTTGTGTTTGTATACGCTGCCACCAATCACTAGTTCATTGAAGGCGCAGAAGTCGGCGAAGAATTCTCCGTTTGCATTCATTTATCCGAGAGCTTCTCTACCCATGATGAGTTCCCTTCCTGTGTTGTCTGGTCCCAGTTTGGCGTTCATGTCTCCCATTAGTATTTTAATGTCACCAACTGGAGTATTGTCCATTGTTGCCTGTAGTTGTCTGTAGAATTCTTCTTTCTTTTCGAGGTCTGCGTTGTTTGTGGGTGCATAGCATTGTATAACTGACACTTTCCTTCCTTTGGAGTTGAATCTGGCGGTTATTATCCTGGGCGAGATCGCCCCCCATTGCATCAGGGCCTTCGTTGCCGTTGGTGACATCATGATAGCCACGCCCTCGGTGTGCATGTGGTTATCCTCTGGGTGACCGGAGTAGATCACTGACTCACCCGTTGACAATTTGGTGAGTCCATTCACGTTCCATCTGCTTTCACATATCCCCAGTACTTGAATTCTGTATCTTTTCATTTCGTTTGCGATCTGGGCAGCTCTGCGAATCTCGTACATGGTGCGGACATTCCATGTCCCCACACAGACTTTTTCTTTTGGCGCAAGGAGATTCGTCGTGCTGAAGTTTCTGTAGCATCTTTGTTTACAGGGTGGGGTTGCTAGCCTCACGCCTGAGAGGGGGAGAGAGAAAAGGTTAGTGTTGCGTGACCGCAGAGCCCAGGGGACAACTGCTTGAGGCCGGTTACACGCGGCCTGTTTTTGGTTGTTCTTTCTTGTTTGGTGTGTCTCAGTAGCATATTTATCACTTCTGCCCTGTGACACGGCAGCAGAAAGCGCGGTCGTTGTTAATCCGGGCCCCGACCGATCCGGCATGATATTTTGTGAGTTTGTTTGAGTCATAGTATTGGATTGAGTAGCTGCTTTTTGTCTAACCGCTATCCAAACAACCTTTCTGGCATGGTAGGACCTACAGGAACATAAGTTCCAGCCAGTGTAGCTCGTTTGGTCATTGCGATATGCAAGCCCGACCACCACGGCAAGGTAGCAGCTATCGGTCAGACCACCAACCGACATACACATATATACTAACTAGACACGGTGGCTGAGTAAAATCAGCATCAACAAATGCTCAGAAACTAAGAAAGCCTTTGAAAATCAATTTGCCTAATTTCATGTCATACAAACTCCTTCTTTCAATGAATAAACTAAGGAAATGTAATTGGAACGTTGCATATATTTTAGTTAAATTGACGGTAACTTTCGTTAGAATAGCTGATATTGAGTGTCACCTTGTAACGATGGGGTCATAACTTACATAAACATGACAATTAGGTAGCCTTGTGGATATTCTTGTTTTTGTATACGCTGCCACCAATCACTAGTTCATTGAGATGATACTAATAGATAGGTAAATGATATAACTTCCCATTCATATTCACTGTTGATTTTCATTGGTATTTGTTGTTATTGGTTTAGCTACTTCATACACTCAGTCTCCTCTTCGTTCACCTGAAGTCCTATTTTCGCTGTAACTCCTACGAATTTGCTGATCTTTGCCTTTAAATATTCGAATTTCTCGGAAACAAGATATAAATCACCAACAAAATCAGATCTCCTAAGGCCTCTTTGTCCATACACGGAATACTCATCCTATCGCTCACCACAGTCTTCCAAATGATGCAGACCATGAATGTCATCCGTGATAGTAGACAGTCTCGATTCAATCCTGTAGTCAATCCAAAGCCTTTGGTGACCTCTCCATTAAGAATTAATTTGGAATGTGTCATCATCACCATTTAGCTGTTCAATGAAGTTTACAAGTGTCTGTGGCACTAAAATCTGTAGTATTGCAGTAGTTGTCAGATTATATGGCGTTCTAGTCCACATTGACGAAGATACTTCCAAAGGTACCAAATTTGAGATGTAGAATCGGCTGTCATTATAAGCGCTGTTCGGTGATGGTGATGCGTTATCTACTCCATAGTGAAGTATTATTTCTGCTGTGCCTGAATCTCTATTGTAGTGTCATTTCATCTCCTCCCATCTCCCATATCTGGACTCCGAATGGTAGCTGCATGAACAGATGGTTGTCTGTGAATAGTACTGAGTTGATTATCTACCAGTCAGTGAACTTCAGTGCATCTCAGAGGATTTCATAACTATTCAATTCACCTGGTGGACATTTCATCATTCACTTCACGGTAGATTCATTCAAGAGTAGATATGGGAAAGTACTACGTAGTTGTTTGATTTCATCTTGGAACACTTCATCAGTTCCAGTCTTTGAATTTGTGAAGAAGTCAACTTAGTGTTGTTATGTCGGCGTACAACCAGATTACTTGTCATTGAGTCTGTGTGTGTGAATCGAGTGGAATTCAATTTCGTGACTCATGTTCACTGTAGTTCTTTTGTCAATTGTGGTGTTCTACAGCGAGATGTGAGTGATGTTTGACTCAGGGGATCTTTGAATCAATCAGTCGAGCACTTTGTCTACCAACATTTCGGTGGTTCGGTCTGCCTCACTGTCATTCACTGGTCTCATCGACGTAGACCCTTATATAGATAGCCACCTTGTTGTTCAATATAGACTTGTGAGGCCATATTCAAGTACAGTCTGTTCTATTTACATTCTCAGTACTTCGTGAAAGTGTCTGCCGTCTCTCCTAGTACTCTTCCTCACTCCTTCTTTCAGCTCACCTTAAATTGAACTCTGCTTCATCTTTCATTGTTCGGCTGTGCACAAGTTCGTCCTCTAGTTCATCATCCATATATTCACCAAACAGCATACGTATATGTGTGTGTAGGAGACCATTTCCTGTATTGTCTCTTCTTCCCGCCAAAAGATGTCTCTATACAGGTTCCATTCCATGTGGCTTCCAGACAGTAACAGTGTTCTTCCACACCGTCTCCCCCAGTGAATTGGCTTAGTGTTTCCTACATTTTCCTAAATGTTAACTGTAAGGATTTCCTCTGTCACTTCATCCTTCAATTTCCGAATGTTGAACATGGATTGTGGTCAATTTTCGGCCTGGTTAAGAGCTTTCCGATCAACGTTGAAGTTGTCGTCGACTAGATAGTGATCTGAACCTACACCTGCTTCTCGTCTCCATTTTGTGTCCAACAGACAGTGTCTCCGCTTGCTCCACATCACATTGACGTGAATTCCATCTGACTTTTGATGTGACTATCCGGTGAGACACACATCGCCTCGTCGATATCCTCATGTTCGTTAAGGCTCTCTCCAATTACCACATATCTGAAAGTTCAGTAGTCTGCGAACTGTCCTCATCTCACACTCATTTCACCGAGCACCTCTTGACGCTTGATGGGTTCTCTCCCCGTGTTGCCTGTTCACAGTTTGGCTTGCATTCACACCACCCATTCGAATTTCGATGTCGTCATTTATCTGTGTTCTCATCCGTTATTTTTTGCGCTAATGTGTAGAAGACCTCCTTCTTCTCTCTATCTGAGGTCTTTGTGACATTGTGCACAGCATTCGATGACCACAACTCTCCTTCATATTCAACTGAATATTGTCATCATTTTCCTGTAGGAGATTGGTGTCCACTTCATGAGAACTTCCGATGCTGTGGTGAAATCATGATAGCCACACTGTCAATATGCTTGTGGTTGTTGTCTAGTTGACCGGTGTAGATTTTTGACTATCCAGTTGACGATTTGGACAACTCGCTTCCATTTCATTTACCGTCAAGAACTTGTTTCACCTACACAGCAGCTGTTTTCTTTCGTTCTGCAGTCAAGCCGCCTTGCTAGCCAGCTTTGTGAATTTTCCGCTTCTCATGCTTAGTTTCACTTTCACTGAAAGATTTCTCATCGGTCGACTGTCTTTCTAAATGTTCTTAATCTGCGGCGTCATCCAACCTCGGAATAAGAAGTGTTCTAAATATCAGTAGAGAACATGTATATTTTTTGTGTGTTTTGAATTGTCAGCAACTACGTGGTTGCCTTTGAGTGATGGTTTGCTTTCTTCACGCCCTTCCCTTCTTTTCCTGGCTTAGGATAAGATTTTAAACTAGGAGAGGTTAGGTGTTGAGTGGTGGTTATGACGGATAATCAGTTTCATCGGCTTAGATGTGTTATTCAAGACCAACAATCGCCTTTTTTGGTATACAGTGTTAGCCGATATAAGATTAGGTTCAATAAAAGGTTAGGAATGGTCAGTTCAAAATATAATACCGATTCATGAATTCTTTTACCATCTGTTTGAGTCACGTTTGGAGGCGTAGGCTGCCTATTCGGGAGTCCTGGAAATGCTAAGAATCAGTGATTGGAAATTGATGATTACACGGTACAAAGTCGTCCCCATGCTTAGCATTGCAGGTTCTATAAATAATCACTGTGCTCAATTTAATTTGTCTTTCTCCCGTACACCTTCTACATATGTTTTCATTGCACTTAAATTCTTGTCCTTTATGTGTGCTTTGGTGAAGAGTGGCATTTTTAACTGTTTCACGTTTTTGTTAAGTTCTATACTAAGAAGTCACTTATATATATATATATATATATCTTGCTATACAGCTAAACGCTGGGATGTCGTGGAATCTTTAGCATAAAGATTGACCAATGGCGCTACTGTTTATTAAATTATGAAGAAATCCTTATCTTTTACTCACTTTAACAAATGCATTGTTGAATAGTATTTCGCAATACTACTGGTGATCACTCCGTTTAATTCAACTTATATAACTGTTCATCACCGAAAAGATATCTTTGTTGAGCTTGTAGTTTTTTCTCTCTAAGTTGTTCTAACAGGTATTTTCCACCAGATTACGAAAATTAAGTCCTTCATACTTTTGGTTTGATTTTTCCCCTTTCAGTCCGAAACTTGTCTCCTGCTACAACTGAAGATGAAAATACCGAAGACCTGCTGACTCCATTTAACGCAAGGAAAACTCCAATTAGCTTGAGCCAACATTCGACAGAAAAGACGAGTGGTAACAAGGTCAGTTTATATTTATATATAAATATATTACTGCTGATCATTATCATCTTGTATATTCCACAACACATTAAGTACTTATCGCATTTGCATTCTACTTGTGGAGAGGTGTTTTAACTTTCCCTGAAGTCATCTGAAGACTTCCTTGCCAACAAATCCCTGCTTATTATTTGTAATATTTATTGAAAGGAAACGATGTTAGGTAAATATCAAGCCTATATTACTGATTGGATAACACGAGCAGTTGTGAAACAGATATGCTCGTCAGTACTGCTTGCTTGACTGAGTTTCTACTAACTTGTAGTAATAGGAATCACTTAAGTACTGAAAATGACTGAATTGTTCAAGTTGCGTGAATTTTAGTTAACTACTAAATTAATGCCAAGGTGCCGAACTAATTACTGGCAAAATGTATCGCTAATAAACACTGTGTTGGAAAGCTAAGTCATTTGAATTTACCTAGTGAGAGCTTCCATTCAGCACAAGCGATATGCAGTTATTCACACATGTCTTTAGCATAACCGTGACACCATATATATACTGTCGAGCAGATTGCATATTGTAGTTTTCCAAGAAAATCCTGTTTTGCTTAATTGGGCTTTCTTCACTTTCCCCACTTAGTTAATTTGTATATGCTTGTTTTGTGATTGTTGTGCACTAAACTCTGATTTTCACTTTTAATTGAAGACATCATCTACTGTGCATTGCTTGGAATAGTAATGTTATCATAATATGATTAGTTACTTGGGCATGCTTTACTGACATAAGATATTCAGTGTTAAAATCACTAAAAACCTTTCACATTATTTGCTGAAATCCAAATAAGTAATTTTATCTAAAAAAAACTATGCTTGGTAATCGGTCTGCATTGCATCTGGATACAAACAAGTAGCTCTTACTTCATGAACTGAAGATTGTTGTGGAAGGTGTTTTGTAAATTTAAGAATTTAGAAGCAGTATGTTTATAATGTCAGTAAACATTAGTTTATTAGTCTGATTCTCTGAATTATCCAAATGTTATTCCCAGAACTCAAGCCCTGAAGCTCCATTATTTTGTGTTTCGTTTCGAATGAATTAGTTACCGTTGATTACAATCAATAAATTCTCTTTTCTTTTCTCTTTTCTCCTTCTCGTTCCCCAGTGGAACATAGGGCTTCAAGCTAGTGGCTTGAAGTTTCTGTAGTAGTGTTTATTTTACAGGATGGGGTTGCTATCCTCATACCCAACCTTTCGTCTTCACCAGCTTTTCTTCCTGGCTTAGTAAGGTAAAGCACTGCGTCGGCCGGGGATCGAACCCCGGACCATGTGCATGGTCGGGGAAGTTCAACAATAGTGTCCCAGGAGTGAGAACGCTCCGATGACCTTGGACGCACGCTAGTCGTTGGCTAATGGCACCTGTCATTATCATAACAACGCTATACACCAACTAAGATGCAAATTTCACCCAGATCACGTTTTTAAGTACTGTTTGGATAATGTGTTAATAGCTCGTTAGGGTTAGGATTAGGGTTAGGATAAGTATTGGGTTAGGATTATGATCAGGGTCATAATTAGGATAAGGGTTGGGTTTACAGTTAGGATAAGGGTTGTAAAATACTACAGAATATTTTATATTAATTTTCACGAAGACAGTTTGAATTATCAAAGTATATTACTTTGACAAAGCTATTATATTAAATAACGAAACGCCAGAAGTGGAAATATAGTTTTTTTATTTATCATTCATTGGAAAATACAATAATTTCCATATTCTTAGTTAAAATTAAATTCTTTTTTGCTTATAAAAACGAAAAACGTCAATAAACTCTCTTAACAAGAGGTCGACAAGTTCAAATGTTGCAAAGTCAAAGATGTTTGATAGAAACTTGGTGGATGACAATCTGTCGAGTGAAATGTTAGTAATACAAGAAAATGGCGAAAATGATTTAAATAGAATTTCAGTTATGACCTTCAATGATGAGGATTCACTAGTTGATTTGACAAAAGGTGAGTTCTACTTCTACTATATTTTGGCTGAAAATGCGACCCAAGTACTTCTGGTTCCATTTATGGTATATTTATTCCTCATATTTAATTAGTAGTGAGTCCGAATAGCTCAGTGGTAACGTCTCTGACTGCAGCACTGGGTGACGTGGGCTCGAATCTCAGAGGGGACATGAGTTCCTTCAAGGTTACAGATACTCCTTGCTGACGAGTGCCAACTAGCACGAAACCTAGGTCCAAGACTTCCTGTCGATTGCCTCCAACCACCTAATATCATTAAATTAGAACATCATTAGCAAAAAATGTGTTCACAGAAGTTAGATACTGTCAGCTTTACTTTAGAATAAAATGATTATTTGTAGCTGAAGGCAACGAAAAACTGTCTGTTGCCATGACTGCCACGATTACATTTCATTTTTCGAAAATTGTTTTACTTACTAAGCAGACTTGTACCAAGTCCTTATAACATTGGTTTGAATGCGTTCAATTCCGTCTTTGTCACTCACTCCAATTAAATGATACTTAACTTGACGTTAACTTACATAACTAAAATATATAAAAGCTGCTATTGGGAAATCTATCTACTACTGAATTCATCTTCTGTCCTGTTCAAATAAATAACTTTAAAATGGGACTATCATATTAAACAGCTGATTTTTTTGCCTTGTGATCAATTCTTTTGTTGTTGAAAAAATGCTAAAAGATACGCCTTTCCCAACAAAGGAAAAAAATCGATTGATATTATTTATATCATTCTTTAGTAGTAGCCCCGTATTCTAACATTGTGGAACTAAGTTAATCAGGTTAGTGACTGAACAGTATAAACTGTTCAGTTAAAAATTGCATGCCTTTAGATATTCTTTATCGGAAAGCTGAATATACTACAAAGCAAGTTAGCATTTGGCTTGAAAATGTGTAGAAACTCATATTTATGCAAATGTCATCATTGCTAGTCAGATACCTATGAGTTATGACAACAAATTTCAACAATTTACATTTCAACCACTGTTTCCTTCTTTACTGATAAGCTGGATGGTGTAACTTCTACTCTCTGTTATGTATATGTATATATATTTATTGAGTTGAGTGAGTGAGTGAATTCAGTGAAAACTTTGAACAAAGAAAGAATGAAGATATTTGCTGGTGAGAAAGAGTTCATTTTATTTCATGGATTTCCTTCCCTTGCTAACAGCTTACAAATAACTTAAGTTATTATAAATGTAAATATAAATGACCTACTTCAAAATAATTTAATTCGAGAGAATTTAATAATTCTTAGCACAACAATATGGCAAGATATATGAATAAAAGATTGGTAATAAATGAACAACCAGAGTCTAGTTATACATAATATGATGGGAGAGATAACAGGAGAAGGAGAAAGCTGTGAGAATATATAGCAAGTAAGTGTAAAATTATCTCATGAACAATATGTCAATCGGAAGCTTAATAATGAGTTCAACTCAGATAGCGAACATCAAAATCGAGTAAGGATTGTGACTCAGTTCACATGTTCTTGGGGTAGCCACTGAGGTGAGGGTGTGTAGTAGGTTTTTTGAGATATCAAATAAATGCAACCTAATTTGTGTATGCACAAAAAGTTAGTGTGATTAATTTTCTACTCTCCTGGTAACTAGATAAGGGTTTGTTTTTTGTTTGTTGTACCTGATTTTGATGTCCCCTCTCTGAACTGAACTCATTATTAAGCTTCCGATTTACATATTGTCCATGTAACAATTTTGCACTTACTTGCCATATATTTTCACAACTTTCTCCTTCTATTTATTACCTAAATTTCTATCATATTATGAACTCTTTTTCACCCTCAAATATCTTCAAGGGAACTGTAGGTATGAAAAACAATGGAACCTGTAGAGTTATTGAATTTGGAGCTGTAGGGTGACAAGATAAATGGTATTTGTATAACCAATTAGGTCAGCTGAATACAATTACAAGAAAATGTGAAGTGGATGAAGATGCTTGTCATTTTTCGTTCACTATGTAATTTATCCAAAAAATAAATATGGAATTCCTTCGCCGTGCTGAATGAATTTGTTATGACTAGGTATCATCTTCACATCCGCTTCACAACATTTTATGGTTGCATTCAACGCCCCTTGTTTATCACATAAATACTGCTTCTCTTGCCACTCTACACCTTGAAGTCGATTTGCAATTATATTAACATTTTACCGTTTGTCCGTTTGCGTTTTGGATGAGAAGTAGGGCTTCGAGCTTGAGCTTTAAAGTTTCAGTAGTTAGAATGACGCCCAAACTTCTGTCTTTATGGGGTTTACTAGACGCTGAGAGGAGTAGATCGGCTGGGGACCGAACCCTGAACCACGTGCGTGGTTGGCGAGTATTCTATCACTCAATTACTGATACACGCTTGGCAATCATATTCTACATTAAAGCACCATTTCTTTTTTCAGCTTATGTGTATTTTAAACATCAGTGTTGTAAATTTCTTTGAAAAACATTTTCTTTTTTCATTTCACCAAAAAAATCTAGATGTGCGAAATGAAAGCAAAATGAGTTTTCTTGACGATCAGTTGATATTGTCAGTAGATGAATTAATGAATGAAAATAGTACGGCCTGTGAAAGTTATCGGTCTTCAGGCAGAAATAATAAATCATACAGTAAGTTTCAGTATAGTACTCATGACTTTTTAAGTGGAATACCCTTTGAATAACACTTTACGTGAGATTTATATATGCAGCAGAATTATTTTAAGTGCAAAACTCTTGATTATGATGTTTTTCGTGTCATCCTGAAAGAATGTTGTGGTTGCGTCTAGTTGATTAATTATCCTTAGATTATAGTTGTAGGAGAAAACGATAACGTAATCTTCACATTCAGATAGGTTGTAGCTCTTAAACTGAAGGCAGTACCAGACTCTATCAAATACGAAGAGAGTTCTAGAAGAATATGTTTCGTTGAACAAAGCACTCTATTCGAAATTATGAAATGAATTAAAAAATTATGCATAATTTTCATCTGAGATGATGACATCCATTAGTGTCCGTCAGGAATACATGGTGTTTTCATTCTTATTTATTCTACTGTAGAGATATTCTTGGAAGAAACGTGTTTCACTTTGTTGTTTCAGAAGGTTACTTAACAGGGAGATAGCTCGATGACTCATAGTGTGCAGATGATAGTCTTTTTAATTGAGAACAATAGCAAAGTCTCACAGGTACAAATGACTTGTTCAATATTTACTAACGTGTTAAATTTTGTGGATTAATGCTGCAGTTTGGACTGCGCATGATTTGTTTTTTCTGGATTCAGCTTGCTCCGAACAAATTTTGCGTCCAGAGCATCATTCACTCTCCCCAGGATGATGCGGCTTGATGTTTTATTTATTGACACCTTTACTACTCTCTATTGGTCTCTTATTGCTTCTGTATATTCCCCTCTACTGTAGTGTCATCTCACTTTTCTTCCCGTCTTTCGTATCTGAATTTCGAATGATAGCTACATGTAAGGGATGACTGAGTTGACTTTCTACCGATTAGTGCATTTCAGTACATCTCAAAGTTTTTCCTAACTATTTAGTTCACATCATGGAGGTTTCTTTGATTCCACAGAAGATTTCTTCACGATCCAGTATAAAGAAGGGAACTGTTAAAAATGATTAAACTCTAGGTAGCTGTTTGATTTTCTTTTGAGACACTTCAGCAGTTCCGGAAGAAGTGAGCTGAGAATTGTTATGTTAACGTGGAACCAGATTACCTGTTATTGAGTCTCTTTGTGTGAATTCAGTGGAATTCACTTCTGTGATTTTCAGCTAGTTACTTTGTAGAGTCACCGCCATATGATGAGTAATTATCTGCTCTTGATCTTGAATTAATAAAACTAACAGGTTACCCTTATTTTTGATTTCTCGAAATTCACTCGCCCATGTATTGATTAGCAGATGAAAAATTGGGTGTGTAATTTTTAAATTAGTTGCAGAAATACTTACCGAGCTATCCAGAATCAGGTAGGACAAATTCCCCTGAAATTTTCTCTTAATACCTGTTGGAAATCAGGAGAAATAAAATATGCAAACAATAAACCTGTCATGTGGATATGTTAACTTGCTCTAAACAAATTCATGTGAAAGTTATCTGCAAAAGTTTGGTATAAGACAACTAAGTAAATACATAGATGGTTTTGTCCACAGAAGACCAACTCACTTATTTTCTGTTTTCTAACTCTAACACCAACTGCATACCTGGCTATCAAGACAACTTGGCAATAACTTTAAGTGAATCTAGCGATGTTCTTGTTTTGCCTGACTTCAATGTTAGTATCTGCAATGAATCTTTACTTTCACACAAGGTGTATACTATCACTTGCCAAATAAAAATGTAAAAGTGCAAATTTTACACGCTTCGACTAGACACCAACTAGTGTCATGTGTCATGCAGACTGAATTCTGCCAGTCAAGTTTGCAATATGACCACCATGCTAGGTAGCTCACCATCACAATGCATTCAGTAGGAAGCCTTGGACCTAGATTTCGTGCCAGTTGGCACTCGTCAGCAAGGTGTATCTGCAATCTTGAAGGAACTCAGGTACTTGCAGATGCACCTTGCTGACAGTTGCCAACACGCATGAAACCTGAGTCCAAGGCTTCCTGCCGATTGCCTCCAGCCATATAATAACTGTTTTACGGTCTTTCAATTATCAGTACAGTATACTTTTATCCACTGGATATATAACAGGTGAAAATCACTTTTTAGATGAAAAATCCCTATCAGAAATTGAGGAAGCTATTGATTATGAAAAGTCCCAAAGCCAATATAATACAACTAACACGTCTATACAAAAATCTACAAAAACACCAGAAGTATCAAATCATAAATCTCAAGTCAGATCGATCAGAGGAGAGTGTATTTCAGATGAAAGATCTCATCATTTTGAAGATAGTGAGGATAATGATTCAACGGAAGACTATTCTGATGATTTTGAGAACGAGCAAGAAACAGCCCATTCAACTAAAGAAGACAATAAATATGCCTTATCACCACCTTTGTCATTAGAAAAAAGAGATGAAAAAACCTGTCCAGCTGATCAGAAACTTCGTCACACAGGTAGGCTGAATGAATAATTTGTTCTTTTATCATACATGTACAAAAAAGCTAGTGATGTTTTAAAAAATACGGCAACAGTTGATATAAGGTATTTCTGAACAACATGAGTAGCTGAGTACCACTAATATTGATTTATAGATCCTAACAACTACTATATATATATATATATACATATATAATATACATGAGCACTTTGCAAACTATTCATTGTACAACTCCGAAATATTCTAATAGTACAGTAGTTTCCCAATACACAGCTATGATATCGTCAATAAGCTGCTAATGCTGTTCATCTAATACCAGCATACATTCAGAGTGCTATGACTAGCAAAATCTCTTGTAGCTATGACCTTATTTCGTTACATTTTCATGTGTTCCATGATACATTGTGTATCAGAGATTGTATAATTCGATAATTTTAAGTGGCTGTCACTTCAATTCTTATTGATGTCACTATTGTTCCGTTGATAAATTACCCAGCTATAAGAAATATCAAAACCTGTGACTGTTTTGCCAACTTAGTTCTGTGATTTAGTCATAATTTTCAATACATAATTTATTATTCTTAAACTGAACGAATGCAATGCAGAAGTGTTCATTTATATGGGAGATTTCCCAATGTCATATCTAAATCTAATTAGTACGATTTAATTTAGCAAGTAGATGGATATGTCTAACATCAAATTACCCATTGATGGTAGCTAGAGGCGGAGCTGAGGACGTGCGTTTCATCTTATTCGGAACTCATGAGAAATCCGCGTTACATTCGCATCCTTTCCAGGAGCCCAAGTGAAGATGATCAACTCGATTCAGAGCTGTGTCAGAAACGATTTCACATATGGTAGTAAAAAAATCGAATCATACCCTTATTTGTCGTGCCTGTAAGGTTTTGGAGAAATCCTTGGTGATCGCTTGAAAATTAACATCTGAATGCTTTGTCCACTTCAGTAAAGCACAGGACAATTAATCAGAAGAACCTTGGTTTGAATAATAGGATAACTCAGGTTATCATTTCCCCATCTTTAACTGTGTCATTAAATCTAATTCCTTCACCTTAATAAATGAATGAAACAAAAAGCAAGCATGAAACCTGTGATTTTCGCAACATATTTTAGGGTGGGTAGCAATGCTATTCAGAATGCGAAACAAGTAAGAAGACATGCTATGGCATTGAAAGGAGCTCGTGACCAAATCGTCAACTGGATAGTCACAAATCTACACCGGTCAACTAGACAACAACCACAAGTATATTGACAGTGTGGCTATCATGATGTCACGAAAGCATCGGAAGTTCTCATGGAGTGGACACCAATCTCCTACAGGATAATGACAGCAATATTCAGTTGAATAGGAAGAAGAGTTGCGGTCATAGAATGCTGTGCACAATGTCACAAACACCTCAGATAGAGAGAAGAAGGAGGTCTTCTACACATTAGCGCAAAAAATAACGGATGAGAACACAGACAAATGACGACTTCGAAATTCGAATGGGTGGTGTGAATGCAAGCCAAACAGTGAGCAGACAACACGGGAAGAGAACCCATCAAGCGTCGAGAGGTGCTCGGTGGACTGAGTGTGAGGAGAGAACTGTTCGCAGACTACTGAACTTTCAGTTATCTGGTAATTGGAGACAGCCTATTCGAGCGTGAGGATATTGACAAGGTGATGTGTGTCTCACCGGATATTTACTCCAAAAGTCAGATGGAATTCACGTGAATGTGATCTGAAGAAAGCGGAGACACCGTCTGTTGGACACAAGATGGAGATGAGAAGCAGGTGTATGTTCAGATCACTATCTAGTCGACGACAACTTCAACGTTGATCGGAAAGCTCTTAACCAGGCCGAATGTTGACCACGATCCATGTTCAACATTAAGAAATAAAAGGATGAAGTGACAGTGGAAATCCTTACAGTTACCATTAGGAAAATGTGGGAAGCACTAAGCCAATTCACTGAGAGAGACGGTGTGGAAGAACACTGTCACTGTCTGGAAGCTACATGCAATGGATCCTGTATAGAGAGACACTTTTGGCGAGAAGAAGAGACAATGCAAGAAATGGTCTTCTACACACACATTTACGTATGCTTTTTGGTGAATATATTGATGATGAACTGGAAGACGAACTTGTGCACAGCCGAACAATGAAAGATAAAGCTGAGTACAATGTAAGGTGAACTGAAAGAAGGAGTGAGGAAGAGTACTAGGAGAGACGGAAGACACTTTCACGAAGTACTGAGAATGTAAGTAGAACAGACTGTATTTGAATGTGGCCTCACAAGTCTATATTGAACAATAAGGTGGCTGTCTAGGAAGAGATCAACGTAGATGAGGCCAGTGGATGATAGTGAAGCAGACCGAACTACCGAACTGGTGGGAGACAAAGTGTTCGACTGATCGATTCAAAAATCCCCTGAGTCAACCATCACTTACATCTCCCTGTAGAACACCACATTTGGCAAATGAACTACAGTGAACATGAGTCACGAAATTGAATTCCACTCGATTCATACACACACACAGTTTCAATGGCAAGTAATCTGGTTGCACTCCAACATAACAACACTCAGTTGACTTCTTCACAAATTCATAGACTGGAACTGATGAAGTGTTCCAAGATGAAATCAAGCAGCTAAATAGTACTTTCCCATATCTACTCGTGAATGAATCTACCGTGAAGTGAATAATGAAATGTCCACCAGGTGAATTGAATAGTTACCAAATCCTCTGAGATGCACTGAAGTTCACTGACTGGTGGATAATCAACTCAGAAGTATTCACAGACAAATTTATGGTCATGCAACTACCATTCGGAGTCCAGATATGGGAGATGGGAAGAGAGATGAAATGACACTACAATAGAGAGTCATACACAGCAGAAATAATACTTCGGTATGTAGTATATGACGCGTCATCATCACCGAACAGCGCTTAGAATGACAGTCGATTCCACATCTCAAATTTAGCAACTTTGGAAGCATCTTCGTCAGTGTGAACCAGATTGCCATGTAATCTTGCAAATACTGCAACACTACAGATTGTAGTGCCACAGACACTTGTAAACTTCATTGAACAGCTAAATGGTGATGATGACACATTCCAAATTAATTCTCAATGGAGAGTTCGCCAAAGGCTTTGGATTGACGACAGGATTGAATCGAGTTTTTCTACTATAATGGATGACATTCATGGTCTGCATCAGTTAGATGACTGTGGTGAGCGACAGGATGAGTATGCCGTGTATAGACAAGATAGCCTTAGGAGATCTGGATTCCGTGGTTGATTTATGTTTCATGTTGATCAAACTACAGGATTTGCAGAGTAGAGCAGACAAGTTTGCTGATGGCAAATCCAGGCATGGTGTGTATACAAAATGCACATTAGTTTATCTGAAGGCACTGTGCATTCCCTCAGTATTCAGAACAGGAAAGAAAAGGAAAATTTTCAATACTCATGTAAGGGTATTTGTTCTGTGTAGTTTGGAGTCTTCATGCATCATGAGAAGCTTTTCCAACAGGTTGCAGATTTTGATCAACTGAAATACTGAAGATCAGATTATCGACTGGAAAGAATAGGCCACATGGAAACCTGGCAAGTAGCGAATTAACCAAACCCTATTGCTGAACTTGTATGCAGAAATTGATGCCAAGTTTCTGATCCGTATAGCAAAACTCGCTTGACGTTTATATATGTGTAAAACTTGGGCACTGTGGTAGTAAGTAATTCCAGTAAATAATACTGTTTCACTGTGTGATATACCTAATTAACAAACTAATATGAAATGACTTGACGTTTGTATTGAAAATCCGAATTTTGTTGTTGATGCTGAGTGACGAAGATTTCTAGATTGGTTTCAGGTTGATGAATGTGTTTCTCGCCTTCCAGATTCTCGATTTGACATCCCCGTCCGTTCCTCATGTAGTTGAGACAATGCTCCCTCCCTGGATAAGTGAATGAAGTAACCTCTTTCAAATCCCTCCCGTTGATGGTGATTGGCGCTGGATGTTGCTGCTGCTGTTGTTGTTGGTTGGTTATTTTCATAACCTCCGTCTTGTCTATGTTCACCTGGAGTCCTGTCTTCACCGGCTGCTTCTTCGACCAGTTTGTCGGTTTCCGCTTGTAGGTCTTCGATTTTGTGTGACATCAAACACAAATCATCCGCGAAATCCAGGTCTTATGATTCTTCACGTCGGTCCAGGATATCCGTGTCTTCTCGTTTCCCACTGTCTGACGCATAATCCAGTCCACCACAATTAGGAATATCATTGGTGATAATAAGCACCCTTGTCTGACTCCTGTGTCTACTCCAAACGCTTCGCTGAGTTTTCCGTTGTGGATCACTTGACATGTGCCGTTGTCGTAGAGCTGTTGAATAAGGTTGATGAATATTTGGGGTACGCTGTAGTACTTGAGTAGTTTCCAATTTACTTCGCGGTCAACGCTGTCGAAGGCCTTCTCAAAGTGTATAAAGTTGAGGTAGACGTTTGATTGCCATTCCATGCTTTGTTCAATGATGATGCGTAGAGTTGCAATTTGGTCAGAACATGATTTGCCTTTCCTGAATCCAGCTTGTTCTGGTCGGAGTTCTGTACCCAGTACGTCTTTTATTCTCTCCAGGATGATGCGACTCAGGATTTTACTTGGCGTCGACAGGAGCATGATTCCTTGCCAGTTCTTGCAGAGTGACCTAAGTCGCCCTTCTTCGGTAGTTTCACGAGGTAACCTTTCCTCCAGTCAGTAGGCACCTTTTCCTCCTTCCAGACCTTCAGCAATAATGGAGTCAGCATATCTGCTGTCGTCTCCGGGTCCGCTTTCAGTGCTTCCGGGGGTATTCCATCTGGTCCAGCTGCTTTTCCAGCTTTCAGGGGCTTGATTGCATTCAAGACTTCAGCTTTCGTTGGAGGATTGTTGTCAACTTGCAGTTGTGTATGTGCTGTTGTTGGTATTTCTGGACGGGTTGCAGGTGGTGGTCTGTTCAAGAGTCCTTTGAAGTGGTCCGCCCATTGTTAAATCTGTCTTTTTTCTTTGGTAACTGGGTTCCCTTGACTGTCTTTTATAGGTTTCACTTGTGTTGATCTCTTCCCGGATAGAGACTTGGTTATCTAATATAATGTCCTCAGGTCCCTTTTGTCTCCTGCCATAATCAGATTCAGTGGCGAGATTGTTGTAGAGTTGTCTTTTGTCCTTCCTGGCACTCTTCTTCACTTCTTTGTCCAGTGCTGTGTAAGTTGAGCTCAGTGTCTCTTTCTCTTGTCCATCTTTGCATTGAATCATTTTCTCTTTCACCATTCTCCTCTCCTCTATTAGCTTCCAAGTGTCCGTTGAGAGCCATTCCTTGTCTTGTCTCTTCTTTCTTCCTAAAACCGTTGAACACGTTTCGTTAAAAATCACCTCCAGAGAGTTCCAATGGTCTTCCACGCGTGATTCCTCAGTGTTGTCACGTGGTGTTTCCTGCTTTGCTCTGACAGTTGCAGTGAAAGTGTCCTTTGTGGTTGTGCCCTTCAGTTTTTGAGTGTTGAACTTGCATTGTGGCCTATCCCCAGCTATCCTCGAGGCTTTTAGCTTCACCTTGAAAGTCCCTTGTACTAGATAGTGGTCTGAACCCACATCTGCTCCTCTCCTCGATCTTGTGTCCAGTAGGCTCCATCTCCACTTCCTTGAGATTGAAATGAAGACCATCTGGTTTTTGGTGTGTCCATCTGGTGAAATCCATGTTACCTTGTGTATATCCCTGTGTTTGAACACACTGCCATCAATCACCAAATCATTGAAGGCGCAGAAGTCTGAGAAGAGTTCACCATTTTCATTCATTTCACCGAGGGCCTCGCGACCCATGGTGAGTTCTCTTCCTGTATTGTCCCCTCCCAGCTTCGCATTCATATCACCCATCAGGATTTTGATATCGCCATTTGGGACGTTGTGCATTACTGCTTGTAGTTGTCTGTAGGAGGCCTCCATCTTCTCTTGTTCTGAGACGTTTGTAGGCGCGTAGCATTGACTGATTGTAACCTTCCTTTCTTTTGAGTTGATCCTGGCTGTCATTATCCTGGTTGGGATTGGTTCCCACTGCATGAGAGCTTTGGCTGTTGTTGGTGACATCATGATGGCTACTCTCTCGGTGTGCTCGTGATCGTCCTCTGGGTGACCGGAATAGATTATTGTCTCTCCAGTTGGCGGTTGTCTCCTTCCACATCCGTTCCATCTGCTCTCGCAGATTCCCAACACTTCTATTTTATATCTTCTCATTTCTGCTGCTACCTGAGCAGCCTTTCCAGTTCCGTACATTGTACGAATATTCCACGTCCCTATCCTTATTTTTGTTTTCATTGAAAGAAGGCACATCGACTGACTTGCTTCCCGAAGGCTTTCACCAGCCTGTGTCATTTCACTTCCCCGATTCCAGCGAAAAATGAGGTTATTGTTTATACTTTTAGAATTTTTAATATATTTGTGCGTTGAAGTTTCTGTAGCGATTTGGTTAAGTTTTTTTGGGGGAGGGGAGTTGCTAGTACCACGCCCCAACCCTCCCTCTTTATCTGGGCTTGGGACCGGCTAGAAAACTAGTGATCTAGTAATCTAGGCGAGCTATTTTATCTTATAAGTGTTGGTTAATTAATGGTTGCATTTCCATCTACTGAAACTATTTCTTCTTTAAAACCCCTTGGTTTCGCTTCTTGGATGCTGATAATTCAGTATACAGGTTAGATGATATGTTTACATGAAGGACTGCAGAACCTGACTCCTAGAAATAGTTTAATTATAGGCTCTTGAATTCATGTGTAAATTTTAAACCGCATCTATTATTCCAAACGGTTGCTTGATTGTAATGACAGTAGCTAAGCAGTTTACATTGTTTCAGTCGAAGTCTCGATCAACTATGTAATGTGATAAATGATCTTAGTGAAAAAATGTTACTATATTTAAGGAGGAGACAATCTACGGGAAATCCTGTTCAAACTAGTTCGTTGGAACTCATCTATAAGATTTGTCTGTAATCCTAGGGAAATTCACAAACGCTTCATGATTAGAACCTTTATACACTTGAGGTATAACTGACTAGTCATTCAAAGGAGTGGTTATGAAAGCCCGTTGGAATTTTTATTAATAAACATTATCTCGTGAAAATTCGGAAGTAATTCAAGATAATGTATCTATTATGACCGTGAAATATGATTTATTTTGTTGTTGTAATATTGAATTTTGTTTCAAAATTCCTTATTAGTGTCAAAGGGTACATGCAGTAAGGCAGGTGAAATCAAGGTCTCTTTCAAACAGTAAGTATATATATATATCATCCTTAACAAATTAAAGTTCTGTTTTACTTTTAAATATAACTGCTGTCATTCTATGTATGAGTGATCCCTAAGATGCTCTCATCTCTTCTAATACATAACTATTGATTTGGGTCTTATACTATATTTTCACTTCAATGAACAAACATGCGTATATATGATAGGAAAACCCATGGATTCACCTGCATAGAAATTAAGTCCTGAAGCTGTTATGAGAGGATTAAAAACCATTGTTCTGCCAATAATCTAACCGTAAAGCTGGATACGTTATATAGGTGATATGTTGGGAAAACGTTCACGCATATTTTTCCTCAGAATTGTGCACTGAAGTACAGCGATTCAGGTTGCCTCAATCTATATAACACACGTAGAGATAGAGAGGAAATACTAAGAAATTATAAGAAACAGAAATGTAAGGGAGAAAGAATAAGTATGTGGAGAATAATGGAGATTTAACAGATTCGGGCAATTAGAGGGAATGAATTCATATGTGCCAGTGGGAATGATTTTGAGCCATATCAACAAGTCTTCAGCCACTGGATCTTAACGTTTCGAGGACTTCAGCCTAGGAGTCTACATCTCCATAAGTGGCCAGGACCAACAGTCAAACACTTCGTGGAGTGATGTCAAGTTTCGATTTGACCATCACTAACTCTTTTCCAAAGACCTAATCCTATGTCAGCTAACACTGTTGGACATGGAAGGTGATGTATTGGTGTCCGTAACACGTTTACTGGTCATCTCAGTCGATGTACTTTCACAACCCCATCGACCAAATCTCCTATACGTAACATTCTATGACTAACCTCAATATACCAAGTAACACAGGAGATGGGATGCAAACACTTGTGGTCAAAGGCGATGTTTCACAGCCATAAAGTCATTTAATCGATAGGGATATATCAAGTCTATGTTAGAGGTGACGTCAGTTGGCACAAGAACCTTTTTTACTCGAACTGAGATTTGGTCAGCAATCAGGCTAATACAATTTCCCAAATACGTGAAGTGGTCAATACGTTCAGTTTGTCCACTCTACATCTTTAAACTTGGAGTCACTGCAAACCAGTCCTGTAGCATCGTATTACGATTGCCAGGAGCTAATCACATGCCAAACGTTCTAAGATTACATCACGAGGTGTTCATGAGATTGTATTATGAAGGCTTCTTGACCTAGGAGGACGATATCATTCACATACTTAACATAGTCAACAACACTGTTCTCTGGGTAAAAAAAAAGTCAATCCCCAGGCAGCCAAAGTCGATTGCAGACACATTCATTAGTACATCTATGATGAAATTAAGTAAAAAATGGAGGCAATGGGCACCAGTGACAGACACACCCGGGTTGTCTTTATCTCAGATGACAAATCGCTATAAGCCTTTACTCAACTTGAGGAATGCGAGTAGTGTACCTTGAACTAATTAACCATTCTGAAATAATTGTTGGGATACTGAAACCATTTGGAATAGATATCTCCCACAAACCAAAACAGTCACCGTATTCATCAATACGCAGACTAAAACATCTAACAACAAAGGAAGATAAAGACCACACTATTTACAAGGTAAACTGCATGATCTTTGAGGAGCAGTATATTGGTCAAAGAGGACTTCTCTTCTTCTTCTTCGCATCCAAGAACACAAACTAGCAACCAAATAACGCTAGATGTATTGCCTCGTATCTAAGCATATGGGCACACACAGACATCATTCCGATTTGAAAACTGTAGAAGCTTCAAACATAGGGATGTACTCAGAATACCAGAAAATGTCTAGAAACATGGTACTCGGACTAATCTGCGTTTACATGGATATATTTAACAAATCAATAAAGAACAAGTTACACGCCAACAAAGTTAATGAAATAGTTAATTTTAACACAACTGAACACAGTCGCAATTAAGGTGACCAAGAGACAACGGCTATATCATTCACGGAGAAATCGGAAAGCTCACTTCACATTGAAGTTAGAGATGAAGATGTTGTCTAGAAAGACAATGAAAACTTCGTGAACCACGATAAACACTTACCTTAGCTAGCAATTTTCTTCGTCATTGCAGGATTCAGTCTAACCTGTGACTATCTGAAATTGTAAATGTGGCTTGCTGACAAATAATGGAGAAAGGCTACAATCCATCACAGCGTCTCTTCTTCTTATTATTGTATCCTTTAATTCCTAGAGGAACATAGGGCTTCAGCCGTGCGTCTCCATTGCGTTCGGTTCTCTGCTAGAGTCTTCACCTGGCTCCAAGTCTGTCCACACGTTTTCATCTCCTCTTCACATGACCTCCAAGTCACCCTTGGACGACCAACTCGCCGCTTCCCTTTCGGGTTCCACTCGAGGGCTTGTCTAGTGATGTCACTTGATGGTTTCCTCAGAGTATGGCCAATCCATCTCCATTTCTTCCTGCCTATTTGTTTCACAATCGGTTCCTGGTTGGTTCGCTCATTGCTAGAGATCTCTGTTGCTGATCTTTTCTGGCCATCTGATCTTGAGTATTGAGCGAAGACAACTGTTGATGAAGGTCTGTAGTTTGTTTGAGATGCTCTTTATGACGCGCTGGCCAAGTCTCTGATCCATATAGTAGCACTGACTTCACATTGGAGTTGAAAATCCGGATCTTATTTTTGATGCTGAGTGCTGTTGACCTCCACACAGACTTGAGAGTAGTGAAAGCTTGTCTTGCTTTTCCGATTCTTGCTTTGATATCCTCGTCAGTTCCGTCCGCCTGTAGTTGAAACGATGCTTCCCAGGTAGGTAGGTAAGGAGGTTGTTTCTTTCAGGTTCCTCCCATTTATGCTGATTGTTGTCTGTTGTTGTTGTTCTTGTTCAGGAATCTTCATTACCTCTGTTTTCTCTATGTTCACCTGAAGTCCTATCTTTGATGCTTCTTCTGCCAACTTGTTGCTTTTCGCTTGCATATCTTCCAGTTTGTGGGAAATCAGACATATATCATCGGCGAAGTCCAGATCCTCCAAGTTTTTTGTGTGAGTCCATTTTATGCCTGTTTCCTCATTGCCCGCTGTTTGTCGCACTATCCAATCTACTGCAATCAGGAAAATCATTGGCGATAGTAGGCAGCCATGTCTTACTCCTGTCCTCACTTTGAAGGATTCCGTAAGTTTCCCGTTGTGGATTACTTGGCATGCAGCATTGTCGTACAGCTGTTGGATGAGATGTATAATTGTCGGTGGCACCCCGTAGTATCGAAGTAGTTTCCAAAGCACCTCTCGATCGACGCTGTCGAAAGCCTTTTCAAAGTCGATGAAGTTGAGATAGAGAGGTGATTGCCATTCCAGGCTTTGTTCAGTGATGATCCGTAATGTGGCGATCTGATCAATACATGACTTGTTTCTCCTGAATCCAGCCTGTTCCGGTCGAAGTTTTTCATCTGGGGCATGTTTTGCTCTCTCCAGAATGATGCGGCTTAGTATTTTGCTTGAGATGGACAGGAGCATAATTCCGCGCCAGTTCTCTCATTGACATAGGTCTCCTTTCTTTGGTAGTTTGAATGAGTATTTTTTCTTCCAATCCTCGGGTACTTCGCCTTCTTTCCACACCTTCTCCAGTAGTGGCGTCATCAAGTCCGCTGTTGTCTCTGGATCCATTTTCAATGCTTCTCTTGGTATTCCATCTGGTCCTGCTGCTTTTCCAGCTTTTAGCATCTTGATTGCCTTCAGGACTTCTGATTTCGTCGGGGGGTTGGTGTTCACTGGTAGCTCTGTCTCCGTTGTTGGTATTGTTGGGCGCGTTGTAGGTGGTGATCGATTTAAGAGTCTTTTGAAGTGTTCAGCCCAGTGTTTCCTATGCTACACTTCTTTGGTGAGTGACTTTCCATTGTCATCCTTCACCGGCTTGATTTGTGTCAAACTTTTGCCCGATAGGTACCTAGTTGTTTGGTAGAGTGTTGTGAGATCTCCTTTGCCTGCAGCTTGTTCTGCTTCACTTGCCATGGTTTCATAATATTTTCTTTTGTCTTCTATGGCACTCTTCTTTACTCTTTTGTTCAGTGTCTTGTAGCTTGCATTCAAATCCTGTTTTTGCTGCTCGTCGGTGCACTGGATAATCTTTTATTTCAACATCCTTCTCTCTTCTATTAGTCCCCAAGTATCCGTAGTGAGCCACTGTCTGTCCTGTCTCTTGTTTCTGCCTAGAACTTCCATGCAGGTTTGACTCCACACCGTTTTCAAGTTGTTCCAGCGCTTTCCGACGCTGACCTCTTCTCCAGTATTGATTTGTGTCTCGGCTTTGTCCTTTATGCTTGCAGTGAAGATATCCTTTGTATCCTGGTCCTTCAGTTTTTGAGTGTTGAACTTGGCTTGTGGTCTATCTGCAGCTCCTGTTTCTCTGAAAGCTTTTAATTTGATTTGGATTGTCCCTTGTACGAGGTAGTGGTCTGAGCCAACGTCTGCTCCTCTTCTTACTTTAGTGTCCAGTAGGCTGCGCCTCCACTTCCTTGAGATTGAGATGAAGTCAGTTTGGTTTTTGGTTCGCCCATCTGGTGACACCCATGTAGCCTTGTGGATATCCTTGTGTTTGTATACGCTGCCACCAATCACTAGTTCATTGAAGGCTCAGAAGAGTTCTCCACTTTCATTCATTTCTCCGAGAGCTTCTCTACCCATGATGAGTTCCCTTCCTGTGTTGTCTGGTCCCAGTTTGGCGTTCATGTCTCCCATTAGTATTTTAATGTCACCAAGTGGAGTATTGTCCATTGTTGCCTGTAGAATTCTTCTTTCTTTTCGAGGTCTGCGTTGTTTGAAGGTGCCTAGCATTGTATAACTGACACCTTCCTTCCTTTGGAGTTGAATCTGGCGTTTATTATCCTGGGCGAAATTGCCTCCCATTGCAGCGTCTCTTACTAGACACCTACTAAGTGAACGTTTTAGATTATGGTCTCAATTGCATTTCGACACGTATAAGCAACCGTTTATTTCATTATCATCATATGCAACTGAAACAGTTCTAATATTTACGCAGTGGGTTTGAAAGCGGTCTCTGTTTATCTCTACAGAAGGCAAATAACGTGTTTTATCTATCATCACATTTCAACTGGGCCTCAACTTAGGGCGAGAATAGTAACAATCTATTTGACAACCTATTTCTTTTCTAATTCGGTATGATAATAAGTGATAAGAGAAGATCTAGTTGGGTAGTCAGTGTGGCGTTAAACCGACAGTTACTTTTCACTTATTCACACAACATCTGGGTCTTACGCTTGAGGATTACAATAGAACGACAGTTTGGTTCGCAGTTGCATCTCACAGTTTAGCTGTTTATTAATCCCGTGGAAAGCTGCACTTAATACAAATGCTGACCTTATATTTTCAGTGACTTATGACATGACAACATTTCCATCAATACAGCATAATGCAGTGATACACTACTGAAGTTCTCAGAATGATTAATTCATTATATAAACTTTTTTTAAATTATGAAACCAAGGGTTAGTTAGTTACTATTACCTCCGCTTTATCATAACTTTTGTCCAGAAAATCAGAAAATTCAATCGAATCTCCTTTAAAAACTGACGTCGAAGTTCAAACCCTGTGGTCAGGGGATTTCCCACGAATACACAGTGTACCACAGATATTGCCAATAAATAGATATGAAAATATTATTCCCCCTCCTACGAATAATACATTAAAAATTCAAAGTATAACATCGTCATTGATAAATTATCAAATATTGGAAAGTAAGTTTTTATATTGTAATATTGTCCTCTATGATGGCTTTCAGACTTCTATGTTTAAAAACGGTTTATTAAGTTATGTTTCTATTTGTATCTCAAGATTCGGTCACAATAAATCATAGATTGCTTGTAGAGTTTTATACATAAAAATAAATTCTAGTATACTATTCCTTTTAAATTTTCGCTCTTTATTTTCTCTTCTGGTGCATTTGATGCTTATTCATTATGTGATCTAATATCACAATCCTGGCCAAAGTTGTAAAAAGGCAAAGAAAAAATAAGACACTATGTTGTTTTGAAGTATATCATGTATGACTGTGCAACCCAGTTCATCTGCTTTCCTAGTTCCAAAGTTATGGGTTTACATTTCACGTGACTACAAGGAATAAATTGTGGTCAAAACGTTATCAAGTAAATAATAAGAATTCGGAATTATACCCTGTGATGCTGACCAAGTTTTATCCGTATACAGAATATAAATAGTACTGTTAAACTGAGATAATTCTATATGACTAATTTGTAAATACAGTTAACATCTGGTCAATAACTCCGTAAGTGGAAAACCAAACACGTGATCATTTTGTTACTGTTTAGACAAAGTTATGAAGGCAAGACCTGTTCTTTGGCTGAAAAGGAAACAGCTATAGTGTTGGGATTTCGGCCTATCCCAAGTAGCGTCGCAGATGTCCCTGAGTCCCAAACTAAGACGAAACAACTGCCCGGTGTTATTTCACTGACTAATTGATGTTAGATAGTGACGCAATCAACCTTGGAAAGAACAATAAATACAAATGACAACCAACAATAAGTTCACTTGATACAAGAGAAAGAATTAGTTAGTAGATGTGTGAGTTCCTAACAGAGTAAATACAGAGTAGGATTACACTTTTTCTGTCTATATGATATAAGCCCACATTTTCACTGGAAAAGAATGGACAGTATGCAAAGATCGGTTCTTCTCTTTTGAACGTAGTTATCACCATAATCTGTTTCAAATGACTATTATTACTAAATGTTATTCATTTTACACCAATCATACCTAGTGGGAAGGTTGAGCGTGGCGTTAGCAACCCTGTCCCAGAAAATCAACTCAATAGCTAAAGAGTCTTCAGAGTAAAAATGTGAACAAAGAACTCATTCTTCTCTGGAATCAGGGAGGCGAAATACCGTCAGCTGGTGAACGCCTCCAGGAAACCAGTTAACCGATATGTCCTCTTCCGATAATAGAAAGGGCATGGAATTACTTCAGATTGCACAACAGATAAGAAGATATGCTATGGAGTTGTGAGAACAGATCAAATGAAAGTGAACTCTGCAAATCGTTCAACTCCAGAGTTGATAATCCACTCCGGTTACCCAGACGGCAACCACAAGAACATTGAGGGTGGCTATCATCATGTCACGGCAGGATCGATAGGTCTCATGCAGTGGGCAAAAACCTCCTCCAGGATCACGATAGGAAGATTCAACTCAAAATGGAGGTCAGATACAATTTTATGATGTTATTCGCAATGCTACGAACAAGTTAGACCAAGACGACTAGAGCCCAGCCAGATGGCGACACTGAAATTCGAATGAGTGATATGAATGCAAGACAAACTGTGAGCAAACAACACAGGAAGGGGAATTATCATGGGTCGAGAGGTGCTCGGTGAAATGGATGCGAACGGAGAACTGTTTGCAGACTTCTATGCTTTTAGTCATTTTGTGATATGCACAAGCCAATGATACGGAAGGTCTGGAAGGGTGCCTAGCGATTGGTAGAAGGGTCGCCTTGTCAATCTCCCAAAGAATGGAGACCGAAACCTATGCAAGGATTGGCGCTGAATCATGCTGTATGCATCACAAGCAAAATATTAAGCCGCATCGTCCTGGAGAAAATAAAGGGCGCTCTTGATGCAAACCATGTTTAGAACAAGCTAGATTCAGGAAAAGCAAATTATGCGCGGACCACGCTTCAATGCTATTCATAATCATTTACAAGTCAACTCTTCACCTTAACTTCATAGAATTTGAAAACGCCTTCAACTGCAAAGTGATTTGGGAAATGTTTCAATACTACAGACTGCACTGCAGCAGACGTGTATAAACTCCATTCAACAGCTATATGATGATTCACTATAGAAAACTTTCCGAGGCCTTTGAAGTGAAGAATGGAGAAAGAAAAGGCTGTCTATTATCGCTGATGATATTCCTGATTGTAGTGGACTGCACCATGCAACAAACCATGGGCAGCGAGGTGGGCGTACGTCTAGCTGACAAGGACTAGTCACCATCAACGAGAGAAATCTCTTCCATTTATCTCAACATCATCGTTTCTATAGGCGGCGCCGATTAGTATTTTATAGCGAGAATCGGGTCGACAAAGGGAGACAGGTATTAATTACTCTGAAATATGCTTTGAAATCCCCTCCACACTAATGTCAAGTCAGTGATTCTATATGGTTAAGAGACTTGGTAAACGCGTCACAAAAAGCGCGTCTAACAGCCTATTGCAGACTCTCATCAACACCTCGCTTGTCACCATACTGAAGACCAGATAGCCAGAGCGGATAGACAACAAGGAACTCTGGAAACAAACAAACCAACAACCTATCACCCAATAAATATGCAGAAGTCAATGGAAATGGATTAGACATACGCTGAGAAAACCGTTGAGTGACATCGTGTGACTGATCCTCGAGTGGGAAACAACGAATTTGGTGACATAGAGGAGGAAATGAAAGCCTACGAACAGTCGTGGTGCCAGCTGAAAAAGAGTGGCGAGAGCAGAGTGCAATGACTACGAGCTACTGATGCTTTATTTCCCACTAAGAACCCAAGAGACTAATAATAATAACAATCCATTTTACAAGAGAGATAAGTGAAGAAGACTAATTACATAACTAAGCATACTGGATAAGTCTTTAATTTCGTCATAATCGAATGGATGGATGAACTTGGACTCTAGAGGATCTTGAGTTTGTGGAAACAAACGCCAAATTACTAGGCGTATTAATTATGACTTGCACTCAGTGCTTTCACATATTTCAGTAAGTGTCTAGTTCGTAAGCGTAATTTTCATCAACATTTATGCGCAAAGATTATTTAAAGTATGCAACAAATTCAAATCAACCCGTTTCTCTGTTGTTTTTTTTTATTAGAGATGACAAACTATAATCCTTGCTTGACTGCATTGGACAATGTGTTGAAGCAGCAAATAAATCTCACCAGAGAATTTATAACAACTCAAAGAAATCTCCACGACACAATCAGTAAAGCGATAAGTCAGTGTGTTACAAACGATTATGCTCAACAAGATGGAACAATACAAGCAAGTTTTGTTTATTTAAACTATATTCCGATCACATCAAGTTGTGACAGAACAGCAGCAGTCACTTGGTGCCATTAGTCATACGGTATACTAGGGCCATCACCACTGAAACCTGAATTTATACGCGTCTAAATAATTTGCAAATGAGTTTACTAAATCCCTCTCGCAAATTGTTTTAAACTATATACTAAGTGAAAGCTATTATAGGTGCCTTTGTAAATCACTTTTAGAAAATTCTTAGTTCTAAAGCATTCGACAACCTACACAAACTCAAATAGTAAACTTCAATTTTGCATAGATAACCTCTTCAACTACACGTATCTCAGTGAAAAAAATGTCAACGTGCTTCCACAGAAATCCTAAATTCAGTAGTCTATCGGATCAAGAGTACTCCCTAGTTGAGTGTTTCAGACAACAAGGAAAGAAATAACTATCCAGTGTCTATTTGTTTCTCGATTTTACTCATTCGTAGAAACATCTGACTTTCAAAAAAGTGGACCACGTATTCAGACGGTGCTCCACTTACCGGAGTAGGAATTAGAGGTTTACCTGTAGGCGCACTAAGGAATTCTTCTGTCTTTCCCCTACTGAAGTGTTAAAATTCTGTAAGGTATTTATGGTTGGACAGGAAAAAAGACACCTGAGAAACGAATGCTTAAAATGAAGGATTTTCCACCTAATAAATATTATCCCTTCATTCATGACGATAAAATCTGGAATATTTAATCATTCGACAGTGGTTATAAGCGAAAAAGAATTTCAGTGTTGGCAAAACAAATCGAATGCAATGACCCATTCAAATTAGTCGTTGGAGAATTTTATTACCTTTTAGTCAATTAGTCTCCTAGGATAACTTGGTAATATACGATGAAAATCACTGGAACATTTGCTCAAGGACAGTCCCAATAGGTTTGAAGTGAAGGATCATCTTTTTTCCCCTTCCCAAGACTTGCTGTTAAAACGGCCTAAACTTCAGACTTTTTATCTGCTCTGTTCTTTGATGATCCCCTATAAACAAGTGCATATTTAAGCGACTAGTAGTACAATCGGGACAACACTCTCACACAAGGATGTCTTAGGTATTCTATCTATCTAGCAAGCTATTTTATTTCTACATTAGTTCGTTTACCACGTGCATCAAACAAAGAAGCAGTATCATATAGAGGATTACGTTTCAAAAACAATTTATTGGTAACAACCTTATCTAATTTCTAGAGTTACACACGATATAATTATGAATGATCACTTGTATTCGAAACACTATAGACTAATTCATTCCTTTTCCCAGTGTCAAAGATACGATAACCAAATAAACATGGAATTACATACTGACACAGAACAAACGTTTTTACAGACACGTACGAATATCATTCTAATGTGTAGATACCTGAAAGCCACCTACATTTTAAACACTAAAGTCGTTTCATCCATGTAGTCATGAGTGCGAATGTTATTCCCACACGCATACCTCAAGCGTCAAAAACACGATTAATCACTTCTTTCTAGCCAGTGAAATGGAAGGCAAGAAATTCGAAATCCGTACTCAATACCATACGATAGAAAAAGAAATGGGGGGGGGATAAAAGTATTAGGGAGCATGAGGTACTCACAATCTCATTTGAAATGTCGACTTTCAACGTTGTTTGATAGCCGAAGTATTAACTGAAAAAACGCAGGTGGGGCATATTATGCAACAATGAAGCTGAACATAGTTCTTTTTTGTATTGTTTTACGTTCCGAGTGGAACGTAGGGCTTGAAGCTAAGGCTTTGAAGTTTCGGTAACAGTGGTTTTACCTTTACGGGGTGGGATTGCTAGCCTAACGCCCAATCTTCCCTCTTAACCGGCCTTACTACAGGCTTAGCAAGGTCTAGAAGTGCGTCGGCCGGGGATCCAACCCCGGATCGCATGCGTGGTTGTCTAGCTTCCTAATGCTGAACCACCCACGCACTGAACATAGTTCGGTATTCAGTTAATGTTTCGTTTCAGTATAAACAATTCTCTTTCGCATAGATGACTGGCTTACATTAATCATAACCATAATGACTTATTTCTTCTTTCTTAATACAGATTATGCTGAAAAATTACACGAGAAAATAACACTGAAGGATTACATGATATTAGAATGTTAACTGTATACTAACAGTTTGAAAATGCAATTCTTATTTGACAAGATAATAATATCAAAATTATGAAATCCTGATGTTGAGAAAGTGAAGACTAAAATTTTTGACTATTTTCATTGAAGAAAAGATTTTCTTGACATTTACATTCTTTTACGGATAACACAAACAAATTATTCACAACTTTGCATTGTGTAAACTTTAGTACCAATGTAACAATTTGAAAGCAAAATTGTCACCGATGGAGAATGTGTGATAATACTACTCACTCAACCTTTTCTCTCTACTAAACACTATAATGGCAAAAAATAGATGTCGGAAAAAGTGTGACTTCTTTTACAAAACATTTTTTTATTTACATGTGCATGTATTCAGATACAAATTAGTCTGGAAGTAATGGCGCTAGACGAGCCTGTTTAGCTTTGTGCTTTCTAATTCTTTTGTCCCGAGCTGTTATCAGTTCATCGAATAAATCAATCTGTTGAGCCTCTTGTAATTTCCTTGTCAAGCATTCTAAACCTGCTAAATTCATGCCAACAAGATTCTAAAATAGTAATAAAAAAAAACAACATTGTGTAAAAAAATTGAGAAGTGTAATAGCACAAATAATGTTTCAGATTTTTTGTTAATTATTTACGATATGTAGGTGTGTTCACAGCAGTTAAAACCTCTTCCAAAAATGTAAGAAAAGATATCTAACCTGCTAGGAAATGAATGCAACAAGTGCACAAATACTTCTAATTTCTACCATATCTTTATCATAGTTACTGTCATCAGTGCAAAGATTCCTTCAAATGAAATATCATATAGTAAATAAAATAAAGATACTCTTTACTGTTACTATTTTATTCCTTTACGTTCCTAGTGGAACATGGGGCTTCAAGCTAGAGCTTTGGAGTTTCGGTGGTTTTATTTTTACACGGTGGGGTTGCTAGCCTTACGTTCAACTCTTCTGTCTTTACCGGGCTTACTATATGCTAAGCGTGCTTTAGGAGTGCATCGGCCGAGGGTCGAACACCGGACCACTTGAGAGTATTATATTGATTGCTGAACCACCAACGTACATGAAGATGCTCTACTCACTTTTATTACTATCAACCCGTCTACACAATGTCCATATACAATTTCATGGTATCAATAGATGAGACACAAGAAATGAAACGAGTGCAGTGAATAATAACTACTACTTTGATATTCAAAGTTTGATGACTCATCGGCCCAACCTTAACAAATGAGTCTCAGATTCGAATTCTGCTTCCAGGGCGATCGGTATTACCATCAGAACTCACAAAAAAGTATGGCTTAAGTCGGGTAAGTGAAAAATATATTACAAGTAATTAGGTTTTAAGAAAATTAGATAGAGAACTTGACACGTGCTGTTTAAGATGGTAATCTTTCACGAAAAATAGTGATTTAATTTCTCCACTTCAAAGCAGCATATTAACAACACTGTCAAGTTGTCCTTAAGAGCTGAGAGGACGTAGATAACCTGCTAGTTTATTGCAATAGTCCACTTTAGTTATATTTATTATGCATCTTCGATTTCATGTGTATTTATTGTAATACCGATTTCTCTTTACTGTGTATAACTGGTGACCACTAGTCACACCCTTCAGTCAAATTAGCAAAATAGAGGGAACAGTCTTTTAAAGTAAAGGCTGTTCAACTAAAGACTATCAGTGGCACTAACCACCTATTAACTGAAAGACAGAAGTTATAATTATGCAGGGTAATTTTGAGCATTAGGTGTACATGAAATTACCAATTAGCAATGGAGTAGCATTATCATTGCTATCGCTGTTATGCTGATGATAACATTCGCCACTAAAATTATTATAGTCTACAAAACCAGTTACTTCTACAAACCATCTTGATAAAAGTTTCTATCAGTATGAATATCCGAAAGGCTACTATCTAACCAACGAAACTAACTACAATTAATTGTGTGTATATCCCTTATTATGTTGAACTTGTTTATAATATTAAAATGCTTATCTTTGTTATTCATTTTTATCCCACCTAGGCTGAATTTCATTTTACCTGCCAATGGCTTTGATTGACTTCTAACCCTCTTAGGGTTAGGGTATAAATTATTTTCCATCTTTTAAAGTCATGTTATCGTAAATATACTGTGAGCATTTACAAATCCAGGTCTTTAATTCAAGTTACTATAATCTTTACTGAGTTGCAGTCTCCTAATTTCATTCGGTAAATCACTCAGGTTGAACCGTGCTTGCCTTTGAAGACTGAATAGTTAACATAAGCTATATCTATTTATATTTACAGACAGTCATGATTTTATCATGTCTGAGTCAATGAGCCACCCATCCAGGGTTGCTCGTCCAGACTATGACACAGTTATAACAGGTAGTCATCATAATATTTACGTCCACACATGAATATTTGGATATAAAAGTCCTATTATTAACCAACTGAACTACCCGTCAAATTTCTCCGTTTATATATACAACGACACTCAAGCAATTTACACAAAAGCGTATTAGCAGTGAGTTTAATACCGACTATAGAAAAGTAGCGGGGAAGAAAAGAAAACATACTTTAGCACGAACTAATTGATCCATTCGAGCTTTGGAGGACTGACGGATTACATCGCGTAACTCTGTACATGACATTACAAGACCAAAGTGTAGTGTCACCAAGTGACGAATTGCACGTCCGACAAGTTCAACCTCCCAACCACGAGATAGCCAATCAGCTAATTTAGGAAGAAGTCGACGAGCATGATCACTCGTAATAGCACCCAGAGTGTGTTCTAGACCTGCACCACCACCTCCCAAGCGAGAATATGGTGCTCTTAAAGCCATCAGGCTTTTCAGAAGGAATTTTTCCGGACAGTCAGTACCTTTTGCAACCATTAATGGATGTGGTGCAACGCTTTTTGCTCCACTTTTCCGTTTTGCCATTTCTTCTTCATAAATATCTATGGCTTCCATGAACATATCAGCCTAAAAGATAAGAACAACACATGTTTAGAAGGGAAAGAAAAGTTAACAGTATAGAGCTGTAGGAGCTCTGAATTAATGTTGACATAAGTAGTGAGACCTTATCATAAGTTCGGCGTTTTTAATCAATGCTTCTTAAACATTATGACCTCCCGAATTGCTGACTTAATTTTACAAAAAAATATTGTATTTCTGCCATAATGAAGACAGAATCTCACTAAGGATATCAAACCTTAACGCTATGAGAACACAAAGAGATAGAGGAACAATTAAAAGATTTCACATGAAACCAAACGAAGAGTAATTTTCACACTTGGGTGTAATTACCAGGAAACACTTAAATCTATTCATTTGCCTCTCGAAACCGCCTAATTTTCACACTGAACACTATGGGAAAGAGATATAATTTATGAGGTATGCGTTTTTCTAGAGTGGAAACCCAAACAGACTTGTAGATGAAAACCATTTTCCGAAAACTATCCTTCATGTGCTGAGTAGTGCGAAGATAAATGCACTGCTTCTAAAAACTCAATTGAGGAAATATTGAATGAACAAGGTCTTGAAGAATAGACTGATGAAAAATGTCAGAACAGCATTCTGGAAATCATCTATACTAATAATTCGATGAATACACATGCGGAGATAGATTACAACTGCTTACCGCAGCTTTGCGTATATCATCGCTTGTAGAGCTAGGTGCATTGACTGTACCCATACTCGTTGAAATACATTTGCAAATTAATTTCCTGTCCACAACATTAATAAGAATTTTAAATAAGCAAACCCTGTTAGAAATTTCCTACAAATTTAGGGATAACATTGGTAAAACCAAGTCGGTTCATACGATACAATGAAAACAATCAAATCTTTTCGACTTGTTTAATTACTCAGATCACTACTTCGAAAGACTCATGATTGTATGCCTATTTCTTGTTCACTTACATCCTTCGTTTAGCTTGTCTTAGACCATTTGGTTTCGTTGGTTGCAACAATTAAGCTAGACTTAAAGTTGGTGCTGTGGGATCACTGGCATTTGAAAGAGGTGGCACGCACGTAAGACATATTTCGATTTTTCATTAGGATGTTGAGAAAACTGTATCTCGGCATAGGACTATATCACTCGCATATTCTGAATGAAATTGCTTTTCAACTGTTTTAACACGAACTAGTGATGCAATACATCGAAAAGTAAAAAGGATGATACCCTATCAAATTAACTTTAGGAATGAAGTTGATTGCGTAGTCTTGAAAGATTTCACTATTTACAAAAACGCATGTATGATATGCTTAATACATACTAGATGTCTGTTTGATCAGACAAAGACAACACAAGACACGTTATGTAAACAGCCCTGACTAAGCTAATTAAATGACGACCATGAATTATGCCAATTTTTCTGCCAAAAGCACCATAACGAACGAAATTTCGAAGTCCAAAGGTCCCGAAACTATACTTTTAAAAATGGGATAACGGTACAGACATCATTCTGTCGAGAAAGTAGCGTCAACTTTCACACACAAAATGTACTCTACAGTTGGTCAAATAAAAGTAATATCATTAACGGAAAAATAAAACTAACCGCATCTCTTGTGTCGCCAGTTGGTCGACCTAATGGACCTATCTCACTAGCTTCTGCAGGCATTGCTCCTGGAATAACTGCTTCAGATCGGACCAACTCCTCTTCTTCTTCTTCTTGCTCTCGTGCAATTTGTTCCTCTTCTTCTAAAATCAATAATTCATCGGCCTCCTCCCATATCCGTATGCTGAAGTCTTGACCAACAGATACAATGATACCACCCCATAATTCATCCATTTCATCGTCCATCTCTTCTTCTTCTTCTTGACGGCCTTTAGAACGTGACTTGCGGGATAGCTGCAGTTTCGGTGTATCTTTACGTGTCAAAAGTGCGGTATTTCTAACTCCCGTAGCCAAACAGGTTACAGAGCCAGTATGACCCTAGAGGTGGTTAAAGCAATATATAAGACAAAGTGAGCTGCACATTTTAAGAAAAACAGGTAGAAATCAAGTTATCAAACTTAAGATATTTATAAAGTTGCATTAAAATTTTCAACAAGATTATAAGAAACAGAATTTTTCAGATGCATAAGTTTATGTGAGCAATTAATCAACTGATAGTAGACACCTGAATCAATTTAGTTGACACTAGGCGTGCAAAGTGTGAAACCAGCTTTGCTAGCTCATATTATGCTCGTTATCTAGTACACAAAACTTCTGAATAGCGTCATTATGCATGCACACAGATAAATTCACATAATGAGGCATAATATGAAATAGATAGATAAACTGGATAACTGAAAATAACTTAAGCAACAAACGGTAAACATACTTTGAGGGTGGTGATTTCGCGGAACTTCTTTATATCCCATTGTTTAATTTGTCCACCTTGATCACAGGAAACAGCCAAAGAAGTGTGCGGAATAAACCGAACACAAGTTACGCTAAAAATATTTAAGGGAAAGCAATAAAATATTTATAAAAGTGATGCTGGTAGATTAATGATATCTGTAAAAACAAAAGTGAAGAGGACAATGCTAGAAACAATGTAAAAAAAGTCTACTGGCAAAACGGTAAAAGCTTAGAATAAAACGTTTAGCAAAGACTTAGTATGAGTCAATGAAGTTTCTGGTTTTTACGTCAAGTTGTGTAATGAAATGTTAGCTACCTCAGCTCCACTATGGATAAAATTTAATTTCGATAAAATCACATTGTTATTCATAATGGCATTATACTCTACCATAGTGCCCAAGCATTATCCTTATATCAATAGCTACCTCACCTGTTGCTGATTTTAATAGAAATTACCGATTTACCTACAACGCATTTTTACACAGACAACGTCTTTGTTCCCTTCATTTCCATTTCCTTCTATCTTATGGACTTTCATCAAAACTATTGATATTACTTTCATTTTACATACGGGTTTTACTGGCTTGCTGAATCTTCAAACTGACTGTATTTTAAATATGCTGAAGGCTTAGATAATTAATAAGAAAAGTGTTATAGTATGTAGATAAAAGTTAAGAAGACTTACGGTTCCAAATGTGAGGTAAATCGTCGTTGACAATTACCAAACTGCAATTCCCACAAACGAACAGTCTTATCACTACTTCCTGTAATGATTAAACGACTATCAGAAGAAATATCCAAGCTAACTACTGGAGCAGAATGACCATATAGTGAGTGTATACGCTAGAAAAAATGGCGGGTGAAGGACAGAGGTGAGACAACTTCAGTCAATCTCATTAGTAATAAAGAAATTAAGGATAGAAATTTTAAACTCATAGAAAATGGAAACAATAACAAATTAACGGTGTGTTAGTAAAATTAGGGGAAAAAAGCCTACCTTGAATGAATCAGTAAAAAACACATCCACATGAAAATTCATTAATGCAACAACCACTAGTCGATTATTCGGTGAGACGGACAAACAACTGATCTGATCGGAAACAGTTTTCACTGGATTACTCTCAACAAGACAGAGACATGGCTTGCTGAAATACAAACGAAAAAGAGTAAAATGGAGTAAAGATTAATGACAAATTACCTACTTAGTCAACACAACAACACAAATACTACAATAATACATGAAGCATGATAACTGTTATGCAGTCAGCAGAGTAGGAGGTCGATGATGAATAAATGTGTCGTTAGTTAAGCATGAAGGTTAATACATTGTTCAAATGAATCATAGTATCTGACCAGTTTTTTATTACAAACATTTTATCTTATTCTTCAGATACATTTACAACGACTAATGATGCCCACAAAAAGCGTTAACTTATATGTTGTTGGTGGCTGACAGATATACGTGCATTAAATAAACATTTCCCAAAGCAGTAGCTGCCTTAGCTCAATGTTTTAGATCAAATGGCCAGAAGGGATTAAAAACGAGGAACTCTGGCACGCAATGAACCAACCAACAACCTAGCGCGCAAAGAAAATCAAGAAGGAAATGGAGATTTATTAGACACACGCTGTGGAGGCCGTTGAGTGAAATCACGTGCCAGGCCCTCGAGTGGAGTCCGAATGCGAATAGATGTCCGAGAGTTACATAGAGGAGATGCTAAAGCTTTACGTTCCACTTGGAACCCAAAGGAATAGTAACATCCCAAAACAAGAAGTTGTGCATATCACTTAGCTTTCAGTTTATTGAATGTTAGTATGTACAAAGAAGATAACGATGTACTTACCCGTTATCAGCAGTTTTTAAGTGAAAATCATAGAACCGTACTTGTTTATCAGAACCACCAGATATAATTCCTTTCTAAAATGGAAGAAATAAAAATGATCAAGTTGTATTAATTATTCTTTATTTATCATCAATACATTAGTCAAATCACCCATTCTGGGAATCATAATTATGTTTACAGTTGATTTCTTGAATCACCTGAAATAAGATCATGAATTGCATAATAATCCGGGACTGTAACTATACAGTGGCATTATGGAAACTCATTAGTAACCGCCATGGATGTAAACTAATGAAGCATTCAGTCCATAAATAAGGTGGTTAATATATTCTAAACTTATTATTCTCCACGAATTTCCACACTGATGGTAGATAGTTTCTGTTGTTGTTAGTACTGAGTTACTCGGAACAGGGTTTTCGTATACCAGGCCGTGAGCTACACCTATTGCGTGAAGGCTGGTAATACTACCCACTTTCCCACAATGAAGTGAGGCATGATTTGGAAACGAGAATCAAAAGGCGAGTGCCAAGTGTCTAAGTCAATAAACCGCATCTCGTCTCTCAAGTAAACATTATTATGGTGGGGCAAATGTGTATAGCGTACAACCCTCTTCCAACGTGGCACACAACCATACGGTCACGTATTATTCCGTCATCCTTGGAAGATCTGTCAACATAAAGTCATGAGAACAAGATCATATCATCCGATAGACAGGGCACTCCAGATTATTACTTCTCTTTACCCAAATGGATCATTAACTTAACTATGGAGGTTATTCAGAATTCCTTAATACTCAACCGCTGCTCACACATAAACTCGAAGTGAAAATAGCAGATTAGTAAATAAGTTGTTGAAATATTACAAACCGACCTTCCATACATATTATCGATGATATAATTAAGCATAAGCCTTTACAGATGAGTACAATGTATAAATGGATAAAAAATGAAGTAGTAGTACTAGTATTGAACAAGTTATTATTACTTATTTTATTCTTTTACGATTCCAGTGGATCATAGGGCGTCAAAATAGAGCTTTGAAGTTTCGGTAGCAGCGGTGTTTATTTTTACTGAGTGGGTTTGTTAGCCTCATGTTCAATCTTTCCTCTCTATCGGTTTTATCACCGGCTTAGATAAGTAAAGGAGTGCGTCGGCCCGGGACCGAACCCCGGACCACATGAGCAGATGGCGTTACCACTGGGCTATTTCGGGCTCAGTATTGAATAAGGACGACTAGGAAATAAATGAAAACGAAACAAAAGACCCAAAATTAAGGAATAAACTACACCTACCTTATCTCCTGTTATAGCTAAAGTTCGTACAGCACCATTATGAGCATCATCAATACTCTGGACGACTGACTTGGAGGTAAGATCGAATAAAAGTAAGTGGCCGGTCTGTAAAAGATGAATTTTATCATAGAAATATTTCATTATTACAATAGAACCATAGTTGAAAGATCATGATTATGCATAAGAACTTTAAGGAATAATGATCTGAAGTGAATAAAAACAAACAATAAGATAAGAGCCACAGATACAGTGAATACCGATTTCATTTTATTTTCTATAACTGGAAACTATAAAAAAGGAACACCGACTTCATAACACTAATCATTAGATGCCAAAATAAGATGAACACAAATTAGCCCCATCGATTTAAAACTTCTCTCGTACAGTGGCAAAAGAAATATAACGAATTATATACGTATCACAAATAAAACCAGGAACTGTAATCTGAAGAGTTTGTTTAATTTAGGTATTAAAAGGCACTTTCTATATCCGATTAGTTTTATTCTTTGTGCTCCAGGTGAAACACGGAGCTCGCAGCTTTTAAGTTTCAGTACCAGCGGTATTGTTTGTACAGAGTGGGGTCGCTAGCTTCACACCCGACCTTCCCTTTTCCAGGCTTACTACCAGCTAGTAAACTGAGCGAGCTTTAGGGTGTATCGCCTGGAAATCCAACCCAATAATGGTTTGTTAATATGAAATTCAAGTATTTTAATTTTTGTAATGACAGGGAATGGAAAAAAATTAGCTGAGATAAATTTCCGTAACATGTTGTATATTTGTTGGATAGTTTGTAGTCTTCTGAACACCTTGAGCAGCAATCTTCGTATGTTTGGCATGCGATTCGCCCCTGTGAAATGTAAGATGCTGCTACAGGACTGGACTACGTCAACTCCTAGCTTAGTGATAGGGAGTGAAGTGATAGAACATGTTGACCACTTCACCTATTTGGGAAGTTGTATCAGCACCAACGGATTGATTGGTGACGAAATCACAGCACGGATCCAGAAAGCTCGGGTTGCTTTCGCTAACTTACACCATCTCTGGCGTAGGCGTGACATCCGGCTGTCAACCAAGGGACGTGTATACTGCTCATCAGTTCGCTCCGTCCTTCTCTATGGCGGTGAGACGTGGCCATTGAGAGCGGAAGACATGAAGAGATTGTCTGTTTTTGACCACAGATGTTTACGATCTCTTTCTCACGTTAGGTGGTATAATAAGGTAAGTAATGTTGACGTTAGGCGTAGAGTGTTGGGCAAAGAGGGAAAATCACTCGAAGAGGCTATGAAGTTACATAGATTGAGATGGTTAGGCCACGTGCTGCGCATGCCTAACCATCGTCTCCCCCGACGGGCATTACTAGCTGATATAGGTGCAGGCTGGAAAAGAGTAAGCGGTGGCCAAACAAAAACATGGCATCAATCCATGAAATCCCTGACAGTTAAACTGGGTCAGGTAGGGAGATGCAGACTTCCGGGTTGGGGCCCTCGGGACTCTAAGAATCAATGGCTGGAGACAATAGGTGACATGGCTCAAAATCGTTGTCAATGGCGCAGATGTATTCAGTCTCTGTAATCTTTCATATTCCTTTCTACCATTACTCATTCTGTTTCACTCTTATACTTGTCAAAACTCTATTGATTCTCTTCACTCATCTTCTTGTCTACCTTTGTGTGCTATTCGGAACGTGGCAACTCGAACTGTTGCACTTCAGTGCCAAGTTCTATGTTGAATCCAGACAGACAGACAGAGACTTTGTAGTCAATTTGTTGAATTCAATGTTCTTATCATGAATAGCATATTAACTGGAAAACCAGTGGAAGTCAAGGAATATTTGATAACTATTTCACCCTACATTAGGATTAATCAACAGTTGTGTTACATCAAAAGTAGGTGACATTCGTCGCTGAGTTATGAAACAAAAACCACACTACCCATGATACAATCCTACAGTCTGTCCTGCAGAGGATATCATGAGCGTTCACTGCCTCTTGGTTTTAGCTTTCTTCTATACTGTTTACAAGCTTACACATAAACGAAATATGAAGCTAAGTGGAATATTAAATGTGACCGCCTTTTACCAAGTAATTTTTCGAATACTAATTTCGGTTATCTAACCTGAAACGTTCATATTAAAAGTCATTACATTTCACTAACTACTTATTATTTTGCAGAAGACAACTGCATGCAATTGTGTTGGTTGTCTTACAGTACTATTCTGTCCCTTACAATGACTGTATTAGTTACAGTCAACAACAATTAGCACATCTCTGTTTATGTATTAACATTTTTTGAGGTCTGAGCTTTCGGCAATAAAAAAGATATATGTGGTAGTTGAATTTGACTGGAATAGGAAACATAAGTGACTGGCCTAATATAGCCTAAAAGCTCCATTATTAGTTCAAGAAGAAAATAAATCTATGATAGTGTAATACGTTTTCGTAAACAAAATACACATGTGACTAAAACCAAAAAAGCATTATAGTGTCAGTGGAATTATGAGCCACATTGGTAGCCAAACTACTTACTCTTTTCTGCTTACCATCTAATTAGTGATGAATATGATGACAGTTAAAAATGACTGTAAACTCAGTTACCGCAATAAACCTAGTCAATTAATTCTTTTTGAGAACTTTCAGCCGTATTGTGAATTATCTGGCAGCAAGCCTTGAACTCAGATTTCCCTTTCTCTCACTTATGAACAAGATATGATTGATAACTCATGGAGATTGTAAATTACGTTATTCAATGCAAATCTCACCAGTACATTTATTCATAAGACTAGAATACTTTCCAATCAAGTATGAAGAAACATACTTCCCATACCTAATAGATTGAATCAGTGACTATGTGAAGTTCAGCCATTCAAAATATCTACAACACTCATACCCAAAAAATTAATTCACTTAGAAGAATCTTGACCAGCATAATTTTTGATATTAAACTGATAGGACCTTGCACAAAAGTGCATCAGAAACTGATAAATGACTTCATTGCTTCTCAAAGTTAGAACTGGAGAGTTACAATAAAGAAAAATTACAGTAACCACTTGTAGAGAGAAGTACTAATTTCTAAGAATTTCATCAACAGTACAGTAGAGGATGTGTTTAATTTGCATATCACATACCTCAAAACCAATGACAACATGACGATCTCCTGGAGCAAGTACCATCGATGATGCTTTAGATGGTAGCGATTTGTTCGCAGATACTTCATCAGATGTATCATCGTTAGAACGCGACTGATTTTTCCATTCTAATGTTGCTAGACATGCAGTTGACCGTCTACAGAAACCAAAAACAGTTGTATAATAGTTGCGATTGTTAGAAGAAATTTTCAGGAGGAACAAAAAGTAATACACAAACGTAGTTGAACTCATCTAACACTGTGAATTAAAAGTGACTTTAAGTAATCATGTCCTACTCAACCGCACCTATCGCACAGCAACTTCGGCGTGACCGATAAGACTTCTATAGCGACGTTTTTCACATAGATTATGTAAAGACTTTGGAAAAACGAGTACGGCAATGGTTTAGTTGCAAAATGACGCATAATATTATACCTCATCGCCTTAGAAATGACTTAACCAGATATCGTACATGTAGGCATATGTCATATAAACTTTGTAAGATACCGTAATGTTAATCAACCATGGACATTTGTTGTGCTTTGCAACCACAAGTTTTTGCATAGGCCTCTTTCAAACTTTCATAAGAGACAATAAGTGTGAAACCAGGAACGGACTGTGTCAAATTTAAAAATTACTTCATTATGTCTCAATTTACACATACCTACTCCACAGCTTTGCTTCGGTTTTCGATAGTGTAAAGATGCCAAAATTATCACTGGTAAGACTGCAAGCAATTACTGAACTTCTATGTCCAAAGATTGAAACAGTATTCAACAGGCGAACATTTGGACATTTCTTAGTTAATGCACTTGTCGGTTGTAAAGTTTGTAGTTTGAAGGGAGACAAAGGAATTGATAGTTGCATTTCCTCTAACATATTATTTTTTAGGGAGCAGATGAACTGACAAAAAAAGAAAGGGACAGAATAAATAATATATTAACCATATGGTAACAAACGACATTCACAAAGGAAAGGGAAAGAAAAATACAGGTAAATAATAATGAGAACCTACACGAAGAAGATGCTTCTGTGTGTCGTGATCAGTGACCAGTTGAGGTGCCAAAATATCACAGCTACTGGGTTTAGCGGAAAGGGCAATTCGTAGGATAGGAAGCAGTTCATCCTCAGCACCCAGAGTAATATTAGACGATGGTAATCCTTTGCTGAAATGTATGTAAATAAAAAAAAGTTAGGTGGTTAATGTGATGGAAACTGCTTATCTAGCAATTCAGAGGTAGATGTGATTTTCACTGCAGCTTACAACAGTATTTGACTGTAAGCTGTTTCTGTTTCTTTCAGTATAGTTCTCATTGGGATCAACAGCAACAACAAAAAATACACAACTGGTCAACAAAGCACCCCAGAATTTATAACCAATAAATTGTGGCAGAATATTAAAATGTATGTTGATATCAATTAAGTAAGAAATTTACTTTATGGTTGGTATTTCCACATGGATGAAAAAAATATCAACTTACTCTTTGGCCTTTTTAGTCTTTTTGCGTAATCTTTTCACCTTTGCGTCTTCATCTAGAAGTCGAAAAATTTCAAGACATCGATCGAAAGACTAGATGAAACAAAGCAGAAATGTTAGTGCTAAAATATTTATGATGAATTTAAGGATGGTGACATTAAAACTGAGTTGTGTAAGTCATCGATGAAATATTTAGTAACTTCCTCTATTTGACTTTTGATAAGTGTAAAAAAAGTAGTTCAATGTATTAGCTACAATTAACGTGTATTAGCTTAGGACGCTACTCGGTTGTCTAGACTGAGGTAGAAGGAGTCGAACCCATTAACCAAAAACTTATTAGATGAAACGAGTTCTTGTAGTATATATATATATATATATATATATATATATATATATATATATGCTTACCTACACAATACTATGTAAATCTGAACAACGAACTTAGATGTACTCATTTTTTACACAAATATCTTGAACATTTTTACCACATTTAATTTTATAATTTCCAACCTTCACGCTCACACCAGTGTATTGTAGTATCGTTTTAATTCTGTTGTCTTTTCTGTGCACTGTTTAAAAGAGTAGAGATTCCGAGAGGTACAGATTTATAAAAGTTCAACACCGACCAGTTAGTCACTTTCTACAACTAAATTATTACGGGTATTAAATAATCTTTGAGAGTCACAGAAAGTTTCAGTGAGGCGACTTGAGCTAATTGTGACAAATTTATTCTTTGTCGTGTCATTGTGTTTAAATCACCTTAAGTATACCAATGATAGGCTTTAATTTCGTTTTTGCTGGAAAGAATCTATACAGAGAGACAATATTTTGCCTCTAATCCTGGAAAGCATTCACGAAAACAGGTGACTGATGAGATTAAAGAAATAAAATAAACCTTTATTAACTATACCTGACACAAGAGGTAAGTTCCAGTAGGGTCAAAAGCCAAACAATGAACACGGCGTACACCAGAACGCTGGACACAACCCAAAAATTGTGCATTAATTTGAAACTGGGTTTCGCTTAGTGGAGTTATCGTTTCGCTACGATCTGGAATAGTCTTGTCAGTCTGTGTTTCACATAAATCATTTGCAGTTACCTAAAGCAGAAAACAACCATATTAGTTTTAAAATACAATGATCTAATTATTACTGACATATATATACATGTATTTCTTGTTTTTTGAGTTTTTACATTTAACTATAAGAACTCCTATATTAGCAATTTCGTGAATATGTTTAAAGTATTTCGGTAGAATTTCTATTAAGTTCAGTTTCAAAAACACTGAATATTAACCAAAAATATCTAAGCATCAGTGTAACCTTACAGATAAGCTTGGAATTAATGGTCTAAACAAGCTTGCTGATAACACATACGAACAGTGTTTGATCGTCAAAGTCTACATATTGGTAATGGATTAGTAATCTCGATTTATCGAAACTATGACGAAAAACGTGCATCGGTGGTTCAGTGGTAGAACGCTCGCCGATCACACATGGTTCGGGGTTCGGTCCTGGGCCGATGCACTCCTTTACCTCGCTAAGCCAGCGATAAGAACGGTAAAGAGGCAAGGTTGGGCATGAGGCTAGCAACCCCATCCCGTAAAAATAAACACCACTGCTACCGAAACTTCAAAGCTCTATCTTGAAGCCCTATGTTCCCCTGGGAACATAAAGGAACAAAATAATTAAAAAAAAACGACGAAAAACAGTAGCTCTTATTGCTGCCACTGATTATATGAAACCACTATACGTGAAAATGAATTAAGAGAATCTATAAAGATAATATAAACAGTTCCACTGAAGTTCAGAACGGAATACAACTTACAGGTTCCACATAATTTATATGCCACACCCTCAAATTATGGTCATTAGTTCCACTAACGAGTAACTCATCACGACGAGCAAGTGCGAAATCCCACACGGGTCCTGGGTGTCCCGTCAATGTAGCGAAACAATGTTGAGTCTTCAAGTCCCAAAATTTGATAAAACTATCTTGTGCACTGAAGCGGAAATGAAAAGTCGTAGATATCAGTCAGCATCATGATACGAAGGTCACGAATATGTGACAGAAAGATGCCAGCAGAGATGAAGAAATATTAAAAATTGACTTATTCATCAATACATGCTCAAATTTACTCCGAAAATAAAGCCGTTAGTACTGGCTTATCGGAATCAATCCGAATTGCCCCATAATGGCAACATATATATTTTACAAGAGATTTCAACCCAAATAATTTCGGAGTTAAGTTTGAAAAGCACTTTAAGGAAATTCGAAGTTCTATCTAGCTGTATCCTGTAAAATGTTTTTGATTCTCTTGGGCTTCAAGCTAAATAACAGCTAGTGTTTGAATAGAACTTTGAAAACTTAGTTCATATTATGGGTACTACTGGAGACTATTACAGAAGAAACTACTTAAATTTTACAATGATCACTTAGGACTTAGTTATTTAAACTTTTCAAATAAACAAGCGAAATTTTCCTGACAAACGTTATCAGTAGTCACCTATCTAGAAACATTTCGAAGTGTAATCCGTCCCACTTACCTCTATGAATAACAGGTGGACAATCGCAATTCGGGTTACCTTCAACTAAGTTGAAATATTTGTGGTAATCAATGTCTGTTTCTCCTTGAAGTTCAGGGTGGATATGCAAGTATGCAAATATACTAAGCGTATTCTCTTGAATTTGAAACACGCAGCAGTCATGTCATTACTGGTGTTACTTATTACATAAGAACAGGGATCTAACTACTCAATTTAGTCCGAACTAGGTAACCAGTTTCCCATCGGTACACAGACTTTAGAAAACGTTCCATTTGAGGTGTTAAGAAGGTTTGGGTCTTTTAAGGTGTCATAAAAGCAACAGGCTGAGCTAATAGTGGAAGTACTTTACATTTTCACCCCACTAAATAAGATTATCCACCATCTAAGAGTTACTGCATCATTACAATGAATATAATTATCACGTTGAGTTACATTTAACAAAAACGCAAATAGAACTGCTATCGTGATTAAAAACTGTTCAGTAAGCCGAGCAGGGGTAATAAAACAAGCTTCTTAGGACCACGTCCTACATGTGCATAGAAACTAGAAACAAAAACAAGGAACACAACTAAGCCCACAACATCGACTGAGAGATAAAGTAGAAAAGTACTGATATTAACCATCAAAAGACGGTAATCAACGGATACAAGAAAATAGCGTAGGAAATTACCTAGATATAAGCATTTTTCTATCAACTAATATTTTAAGACGAGTGATAATCCCATGGTGTCCTTTCATTCTTGTACCAGTGCCAGAAACAACGTCAAAGAGATTAATTTCTGAGTCCTACAAAGTAAATAAAAGTGTATGACTTCATACCGCAGCACAGACAAGTAAGTCACTTTGTAAGTCCATAGATGTTACCCTGGTGCGACCAGCACGGAAGTGAACTTCAATATCACCAGATTTCATATTAAAAATATTGACAGCTCCGTCCGCATAGCCAACAGCCACTCTATAATCCACCTCTGATGTTCCAGAAGCCTTGAGACATGTTACAGGAAAGAATCCTGATTCCCTGGAGAAGATATGAACCTGGCAATAAGAAACTTTTAGCATACTTTTTCTGAAGTTCTAGGCTTCCACACAACTGCTAATTCACCTGCCCCACATAAACAGTATTCTCCATCTTTACGATTTTTGCCTGGCACATAACTGACTTTGCAGGAATCGCTAGCGATAATCCCATAAGTAGCTTCGGGTTTGTACTTCTGGTAAGTGTGTGTGACCTTCATGGGTAGCGTTGTGAAACAATTCCCACCAGCAGCTACCTTGAAAAGTAAACGCGATTCTCAGTATAACCTTCAAACTTTAAATTCATATGACAGCCCAGCAAATTGAAAAAGGGATCTGAGAGACAAGAAGAAAAAATACTTTTGAGACCTTTTCGTCTCCGTATACAGCTAATTTTTATTTGCTAAACAGTTCAAAATTTGTGTAACACTTCTGTATGTTCTAGAGTATTGAAGTTCACATCAAGCAAAGCATGTCCAACAGTCTGCAGACTTTCATCAACACTTCCTCTAGCTAGCCTGAAACGGGCTATCAGATGGCTGGTCAGAAAGCACAAACAACGTGGGATTCTATAGCGCATGACACTATTTATGTATGATCACGACATCGAGCCATTTCTGCCCGGCATCAGTACCGATTGTGTCCTAACGGTCGACCTTCTGCACTCCACGGATCATGATTTCTTAAAGGAAATCTAGGATATCTATCCATTAGTGGTGAACTAAGTTTTTGAGGATCTAATCTGATTCAAGAATAATATTGCAAAATATGAGGAGCATATAGTGGGAACAAGATGGCAACAGGAAAAACTTTCGTTGGCATCTTTTGCTCTGCTACCAATTAGTTCCTCTAAATTAGTTCAACTTTTTAAAGGCTGGTATTATGTAGGTATAATTTAAGTGTTACAGCTGCCAATAAATGGTTCTACATTTTGGCATAAAAACATCACCTCAGTTTATCATTAATGCAATAAACAGACACTGTATAGACAACTTGCTAATTTGGAGACCAAACGGATTACTGTGCACCTACTTTTGCATGGTATTTGGCATATTCTTTCGCAGTCAATCGTGGAGGTATGCTCTGTTTAATTTCTAGGGACAGTGAAGGAATTAGGAGGGGGATCAAGTTGGAAAATCCACTATTGCCTATGTTTGAATTATAGACCTTATAAGACTGCGATTAGTCGCTTCACGAGCGAGATAATTCATTTACGGGGATTTCGGGGCATAGTTTTCGAAGTCTGCCCTGATATTTGGCGAGATGTGAGAAAGATTAATTGCAATCAGTGGCCTCATTCGAAGCTCCCTACCATCGGTTCACTTACGAGGCAGTAACAATGGAACAGGAGAAGAATGTAGGGCATTTCCGTCCAAGTTCTTTGAAGTGGTGACCCTATTAGATTGACATGAATATGTCCAGAATTGCCAAACTGAAGGATCACTCTGCACGAGTGACTCAGATCCCACGCTTACTTGCAGTAGCCACTTTTCGTAGAACTATAAGGTGTGTTTTGTACAAAGACTTGTAAGAGGCTTTGGTCTTAGTGCAACTATCTACCTACTACGTGTAGCACAATGTGCACTTTGATAAGCTTTCCTACTTAAACAAGACTTATAACTAAAGTGTGGAGTTAAATGAGACTAAACTTAGATGCAGATGACAGTCTCAGGTATCTTGAGTCATCCGACGAGGTGCTTATAGTGATTAAACGTCTTTACACGCCTTCTAGCCAGTTCTGGTCGAACCATTTGGGGATTCCTAGGTCCTTCTGCACCTTCTACATGTTTTCTAAGCTTTTTGTGGCTTCATAATTTCCTAGGTAACACTCATACCTGAAGCCTAGAGGTTTTGAAGTGTGTTTAACATTTTATCTTTTTACGGTAGATATCCCCAGGTTTTCTGTTAGACTATGGAGAATAGTCTCAAACTCTCGGAATTCCGCTCGCTCTAGTTTTGCAAACTGCAGACAGGCGACCAACAGTCATCCATGAATCTACGTAATAACTATGCACAACTGTCTATATCACATTCTCAAATACCTTGAATGAAGCCCTTGTTTCGTCAGTCTACTCTAATTATGAGGCTGTAGTGATGGTTCAGTCTTATTTAACTACAGGTAAAATTACCATACTAATTTTGTAGAGTTAACCAAGGTCATCATTTTAACACCTAGTGAAGTAGACAGAGGAGTCGAACACATTTTAATCATTACGCTGTATATGAGACTGAATGAAATTCAGTCACCAATCATAACATTGTCACGAACCTAAGAAAGCGTTTTAAGTCTTATTTGAGGGACTAGGCTCGGAATCACTTAGACTAGATCACAATCCAATGGGTGCGTGACTACAGCAGGTAAACTGAGACCATTGGTGGTTGGGAATAAGGTGCACATCATTTTTAAATGTGGTCCTCAGACAGAATAGACATATAATTACAGAAGATGAATAATCTAAAAAACACTAGAGGGAATGAGAACTGGACAAACCAAGAAATAATATGGATTAGTATCATAGAGTCTACCTAGCATTTATCTGTAGAGTGTGAAAAGGACCTTCTTTGCAAACAGCACAGAAATACATAACCTACCAGTTTTATACCAACATTCTTATGCACAGGCGCGGAGTCAAACCGCCTAAACAAAACAATTATGTCACCCTGCAATGAGCAATGAAACATCCCACCACTCTGCTTCTTCCTATTTACCAGTAGGATGAGACACTACCTATACAACTATAGATGAACAAGGACAAGGTACTATGTATTATAAAGTCATTGAGACATAGTCAATCACCCGTGACTTTGATTAATGAACTTAAGATTCCCACCAAATACATTCCCTCTCAAATATTCATCATTCTTTTCAGTGCTACATCTTCTGATAAGGGTAGTGTTTCCTTTTTATGAACATTCTAAGTTGTAGTCCCACTGTGATGTACCAGAAGTAGAAGTAAATGGGATATACAGTCATATTTTTTCTTAAGCACACTTCGGTTAGTAAACTGGAAATTCTTCAAAATGCACAATATATACGGAGAGTGTGGTCATCCCAATATCAGATGGAATTCGCTTTGTGGTTGAGTCAAGTGTGATACATTTCCCAGTACGTTTTGCATGTTTAAACAGAGACAAACTATCTCTGTGTCTACAAGTGTTAGTATGGTGCCGCATACCTCACACCTTTACACTAAAGCAGACAACATGAAGGAATAAAGTTAGGACAAAAAGAGAATTTACATAATGGTTTGTACGATGGAGTATTTATTACTGCTGATGACATTAAGACAAGACAGGGTATTTCCTGTCGAAGTTTAAACGCTTGTACAGAAAGAGTTGTTCCATCGAAAACGCCGGAAAACTTTAAATTTTAAAAACCTTATGAAACTCTCAAGTTTCAGGTGAAACTAAGAAAACTCTCGTAAAATACTTCACGCTTCATGAATATGATTAGGCTAGGTCGATTCTCAACTCTCTTAATCCCATCCAGCATACACACATTATATGAAGAATGAAGAAAGCATTGTTTTAGCCATTACGTCTATAGTGAACTATATTTCCAAAATGCTCAAGAAGTAATCGAATCCAGAATCACTAGTGTACCTCTTTAACTTTCACAGTGGTAGGTCTTATAATAACCCCCAAGAAAGTTAAGCATGTCAGTGACTGGGCGTGATATGTTACATACCTACTCAAGGGCTTATGCTGTAACTTTCGGAAGACTTGTCTTAATAAGATCAGGGACCGGTCTGAACGACAAAGTGATCGTCTAAAATACGGGAATCACCTCAGGATCGGAAATTAATTGCGATGATTGCTTAATTAGCTTGGTGGCATGCACGACTGACTGCACGCGATAGGACAATGGGCCAAATGGTATAGATGCTTGACGGCCCACGATCAAGTTAACGAGTCGACTGAAACATTGGTAGTCACCATCCAGTGTGGAATGGAGAAAACTGTAGTCTAATGATTTTGGGAACCATCTGCCACTACAACCCTATAAATATATGTGATTAATACAACAATCATTCGTCAGCATTCATCTTAGGCCCACAATCGTTCATGGCGATAAACACTTATTTCTTACCATGAAATAATAATCTTTTTACACAATGAAACAGAATAAGACCTTTGATTCTACAGACACTCGCACCAAGAGTATAATCAAAAACCTTGCGAATCCCGACTGGAGCCAGTAGAGATAATATACCATGTTCCTTCAGATATTAGAGGCTAAGGGTGTTGACGTTCACCGGTAGTACGAAGTATAGCAACGCAAGATCTAACACCCACAACTTCTATGGTATTCGTTCCGTGTAGACCAAAGGTAACGCAAAACACCAGAATCGATCGTCCAAATTACGAATTATACTTCAGGGCCAAATGAGAGTGCGAGATGATTGCTTAACTAGTGAGGGATCGTGCACGAACGAACAAACTTAACACGACAGCGTGCCGTATGGAGTGGATGCTTGACCGGGAGCCTTCAGATAAAGAAGTTGACTTAAACAGTGAAGGTCAGCATCCAATGTTCAGTGATGAATGCTGTGGGCAATAATTCTGGGGAATTACCTACCGCTACAAGACAAACGCTGACTTTGCTGTTGCTTCATAGTCACCTAATGTATATTCCATATCTGTGAAAGCTTGTTCTTACTCTAATATGTGGAAAACACACATCTCAGACAAAGTATCCGAACCTAGGATCGAAGCTGGAAACTTGTAGTAGAAAAATAATTAAGCAGAGCGCTCTACCTCACATTCTTAATAGCATGTGTCCGGCGACAAATAGATCTCGTCGTCTGCTTTGAAATCTTAGCATTGATTGGGTGAAAGACCGGCGTTCCCAGGTTTGAAATATTTTGGGAAGACCAGGACTAATTAAATACCCTCTTTTCAGCAGGTTTCAAACTTAGGTCTGCGGAACAATATCTGGAAGCAACGTTTTCAAGGCATTGTTCCACACGTTCGTCTTTTTACAATTCATATCGACGGCATATGGCATGATTTTGCACGTTTCAAATGACCTGTGTCTGTAAATGACTTCAAGGTGGTTTATACATTCAGTTATGATGAATTATGATACTTTCTGAAGGTAGACCAAAGTGAATTAGATTTGATGATAGTATTATCTGATATGTTTACGAAGTAGTGTAAATCAATTTGACTTCTTTGAGCTCGCTTCTTGGTTATAAGTTAAACATTCCTGATCTTCAGGAAACTACTGCCTAATCTGCCCCACCAATCGGCCGCTGTAGCTTCGATTGACTACTAGTGAAGTGGTGTGGGGATTGGTTATGTTGTTTGCAG